TCATTTTGGGGGAGTGGGAGTGCTGAGAGAAAGAAAGAATGGAACTTGGGAACAATGATTATAAATGAAAAAAATTGGAACCCAAAAAGGTTTAGCCAGGTTGGTGGTCCAGATCGGAGCCAAGAGAGTAAATTCTAGTGCTTTGCTGCAATATGAGCTGGTGACTGCCCCACTCAACAGCTGTTTGAAGCCATCTGAAAACCAGTTTTTCCAAAATTTTCATTTATAATCATTCTTCTTATTTCCCAATCTTTCTTTCTCTCAGCACTCCCACTCCCCCAAAATGAATATCAAAGCTTTTGAAAAAAATCAATTTTATTTTTTATTTTCACACATTTTAAAACTTTATTTTTTGCTTTTATTATTTCATATTCATTTTTTGGGACCTATTAAACACCACCTGACCAAGTCTCATGATTTCAAATTTGTGTTTTGGAGCTCTGGAATCCAAAATAAGCAGCCACTTTTCACTGTCTAGGCACTGTACAGAGTTAAATCATTATTAATTTAAAGAATAATATTAAATAAATACTTATTAATTTAAAGAATAAGTATAATAATATTTATCATTGTGTAACCTGGAGGGGTTACAATCTCATGTAGACACATGGACTAGTGTCTGAGTGTCAGGCACTTGCATTTTCTTGATTTGGGTTCTACCAAACTTCTGCTAGAGAAAGAATAATATAATTGATGCTCTTTTCACACATTCTCATGTATTTCAAAGATGCTCATGTAGAGAGCAATCCTTATATATGCGGGTTTCACATGGCATATTTGGAGTGAATGTAGGTTCTATATTGTGGGCTGAGCATCTATGCTTTACTCCTAATAAAAGCCTGTCACACCTTTCTTGTCTTTCAATGAGGTTACACTTCACACATGATAAAATCCTTCCACAAATCTTATATTCTTCTGTTTCCTCCCAGGCTGTACATTCAGCTTCCTGGCATCCTTTTGTAACACAAGTTACACACATGAATTTGATGGACAGTATTATGAGTACTTTGATCAAACATATCTTTTGGTGGTGTTTCATCTTGTGAAAGTCAGGATGGGTGTGTCCAATGAGAATTGAACCCAGGTTTGCAATGTTTTGTGAAATTCAAATGACAACAGTTTGAAGATCTTGTCTTATACTGTTCAGAGATACTGTTGACAAGGATTCTTCCATATATCCCCTACTCAAACCCCCTACTATCCTTTTGAAACCTTCTAACCACAGATTTCACCAGAAAACAGAATCAGATTACATAAATACTGTGGCTCTAGAAAACATTTATTCAAAGCATGAAGCTTTGAACTCTAGATCAGATCATTTGGACAGCTTAGGATACAATTTGGATCCTTACAAGCCCAATCTTTTTACCATTTCAGTTAATAAATTCCAGGTCAAGGTGTTGGGTTTTTCTCTCACACATTAAGCCACAACAAGATCACACACTACATAGATTATGTACAGTGGGTGGACCGTTATTTTTGGCTGCTTGTTTTGGATTCCAGAGCTTCAAAGCACAAAATTGAAGTCACAATAATTGGTGAAGTGGTGCAGAATAGGTCCCAAAGAATGAATATGAAAAAATAAAAACAAAAAACAAAGTTTCAAAATTTGTGAAAAATAAAACATAAAATTTATTTTTCTCAAAAGCTTTGAAATTTGTTTTGGGGGAGTGAGAGTGCTGAGAGAAAGAAAGATTGGGATGTTAGAAAAATGATTATAAATGAAAATTTTGCAAAAATTAGTTTCCAGATGGCTTCAAACAGCTGTTGAGTGGGGCATTCACCAGCCCACATTGCAGTCAAGCACTAGAATTTACTGTTTTGGCTCCAATCTGGACAACCAACCTGGCCAAACCTTTTTTGGTTCCAATTTTTTTCATTTATAATCATTCTTCCCATGTTCCACTCTTTCTTTCTCTCAGCACTCCCACTCCCCCAAAATCAATAACAAAGCTTTTGGAAAAAAACATTTTTATTTTTTATTTTTCACAAATTTTGAAACTTTATTTTTTGTTTTTATTTTTTCATATTCATTCTTTGGGACCCATTCTGCACCAATTCACCAAGTCTTGTGACTTGGAGTTTGTGCTTTGAAGCTGTAGAACCCAAAACAAGCAGCCAAAAATAACAGTCCACCCACTGTACTTCACATGCATGTATAGCAGTTCAAAGTCTTGGTATAGTGGTTGCACTTTTTTAAAAATATTTTCAGATGACTTGAATTTTCATGACACATCTGAGGGTTTGCATTGATGATTTTATAATATTCCTCAGAATGAGCATGTAAATATTTGCATTGTAGTAGGTTTTTGGCTCATTAACAGTCATTAATCATCCAAAGGTGACCCAAATGTCAAGCTGAAATCTCCATGATGCTCATATATATATATATATGGGAGTATTTAGTGGAGTGCAAATAAATCAATACTTTTATTGTATTGATGGAATTTGTTGCTGCAGTTTCAGTGGGCACTGTAAGTCCTTGGAATTACTTTTGTCAACAAAACCTGTTTCATGGGATGTATGGTGGCTTAAGGCTCAACTTGTCAACAAGTTGCTTGTCTCTACATAACAAATTTTTCAGATTGTACCGGAGGCTACCGGGGGTTATATTGATCCCGAATCTGCTGTGGTCCCCCCCACGGGGGTGGGGACATCCTTTATGTCGCGTCGCGTCTTGCAGATTGATAAGCCAGCCTGTCGAGAAAGACAACCATCAAAAAAAAAAGAAAAAACCAAAACCAAAACCAAACAAGTCAAGTCAAGAGAGATAAGGATAACGAGATGGACAACCAAGCACTACTACTACCAAGCGACCAGGAAACACCAACACCACAACCGACTCGATCTGGTAGAATCCCACTCAGACCGACCAGCACAAGCTTAAACCCACTCGACTTCCTCGAATTCCCAGACGAGAGCGAATCAGATGACCCTGACTTCGACCCACTACTACTCCAACAACAACAGCAGCAACAGCCCCCCACATTCAATCACACTCAGCAGATCGAACAACAACTTGGCTTTGACTTCTCAATCCTCTCCGACCTTCCTCAACCAACCTCAACCTGGTCACCACTCACCAACGACAACCAACCCAGTTTCAATCCATTCAATCAGTTTCAAACAAACGAAACACTCAACGAGCTCTCCCCACTCACTCAGGGCGAAATCGCTGGCGTACCCTTCGTCAATATCAATCTACCCGAATCGGATGACTCTCCTGAATTCATCCCTCCCCCCACCACTCGTTCATCTGCCGCAGCAACAGCAGCAGCTATCGCATCCGCATCCTCCTCCTCATCTCGGCCATCCAAACGAACCAGGCGCGAGACCAATTACACTGCAACGGCCGATCAAAACCCACCCGCCAATCGCTCCCTCAACCAGCCCACTGCCGGGCCTTCTAAACCCTCGAAATCCACCAAGCTTCCCGCCTCGATCTCCAATCGATATGTCGCCATCGCCCCCACTCCTGACTCAACAAGCTATCAGGATCCCGTACGACAACAGACCAATTCTAATCGGCAAATCATCGAACGTAGCGATGACGACGATGATGATTCAGATCATTCCTCACAGACCCATCGTCTTCCAACACACGCCGAAATCGTCCAAAGGAACACCGCCAACCGCTCGAAACCTGGCCCCAAACCCCGCAAAAATCTCGCCTCCTTTAATCATGACCTTCCTCAGTCTTCTTCTAACCTCGAGAATCATCAGTTCATCGAAGATCGTGAAGATTCCATGAAACGCAAAAGGGAGGGCATGCGCAAGAATCGCGAACGCAAGAAGATCTATATCGTTTCGTTGGAGGATCGATGTCTCGAACTGGCCGAAGAGTATGTATTCTGTTTCTCTCTCTTTAACCACTCAAAAAAAAAAAAAGACGGAAGAAAGAACTAATTTGATGTTTCTTTTGTTAATAAATAGGAATGCCAGGTTGAGAGAAGAGAATCAAGAGTTAATCAGAGAATCGCGAGAGAATTGGAAGAACAAAGCCAAGTCATTAGAAGTCTTCAAGCTCCTAAACCAACAGATCCAGCGGCTCCAACAAGGCACCCCCACCGCCGTCGACCTCGTCTCTCCGCCCTCGAACTCACTCTCCACTCGATCGTCCCACCACCAACCACAACGCAGTCGCCAGTCCCTGAAACGCAAAAACGAGGATGTTTACATCAACGATGATGAGGAGGAGGAGCTGGCAGAACCTCATCGTCTTCTTCGACCCACTCCTACTACTACTTCGGCTTCTACTAATCGGTCTGCAAATAATTCGGCTAAACAAACTAACCCTTTCTCGTCCTCTAATCAAAACCTGACGCTCAAACGCGCCTCCGTTCCTTCGTCTTCTTCGTATTCTCACCATAACTCTACCGCTCGCGGTCGTACTTTACTCGACGTTCTGTCTCTCCAACATCGTAAATCTTCTTAATCGTTTTCTTCTTTCCCTTTTCCTCCTTTGCTTCTCTCCTTTTTTGGTACTCCCTTCAGTTCATTTTCTCTTCTTCTTTTTTCCCTCTCTTAATTTCCTTCTGGGTGAGGTGTTATATCCCCCCCCCCATTTTCTGCAAAGTTCTGCGTTCTTTCTTTCTTTTATTTATTCTTCATGGATTGAGATCTCCACTTAATTATCCATTACTTATCGTTTTTTTTTAAAAAGAATTTAGATTGGTTTACTACAGATTGTTATTAGTTCGTTCCGTTCCAAGTTTTTCTTTCTTTAGTCTTGGTTTTATGGGGTTTTTTTATCAGTCTTGGTTTCAGTTTTTTGGGGGGGCTTTTGTGTTCAGTTTTGTTCATGATGATGATGGTGTGTATAGTTAACAGTTTATGATATCTATATCCGAATATCCTTTAAAAAAGTTTTAACAGTCATGTGCCAAATATTAAATCTACATGTTTGTGTTTGTTATCATAAAAGTGAATGAAGTTCAACACGTGCATCTCAAATGACATGTCTCTGGCACATGAGTGCTCGATTCTATTTATAGCTTGCCAGGCCAGAATACTTCCCAGTGGGCTGGTGCAATCGGTACCACACTGGCTGCATTCCTCTTAATGTATCCATGAAAGACCCAATACTGACCTCACCATGCTCTTGGCAGCAAGAATGCAGTATTACACCATCATTCACAGAAGCAGCTTTGTTTCAACTGCTCACATTGGTGTTACTATCATCAACTGTTAGTTTGGTGAGATCAAAATTGTGACAATGCTATGCTATATACTATTACTATGCATGGGAAAGAAGGGGCAGTTCTTGTGGGGAAGTTAATGGAACATAAAATGTTGGATCGGCCCATTGATGGTGCCATGGTTGCTCAGGACAGGACTGAAGGGATCTTTCATCAGTGTGCTTCCTCAAAATTTAATTTGCAGGAATAAAAACAGTTGGATTTGTGGATTTCTATGCATCAATCATCATCCTTTTTTTTATGAACAGATCTGGTACTCTCATGAGAGCTGGTATTGTGTTTCTTGTGATTGTTGGACACAATCCAATTTTTCTGGTTTTGATTATGCACTTCAACATCCCCAGATCCGCATTTGTTTGTATTTTTTCCCCTGATTTTTTGCCCTTACTATCTCACTCTTTGCTTCCCACTTTTTGCCAGCCACAGCCAGCCACCGGACAACCAACCTTGGAGTTGAATTCCCATTTTCATTGGTTTTGAAGTGAGGGAATGACAAAAGCAACCTAATTTTCAGAACTGGAGACAAAGGTTTGCCTTGGTCTGGCTTGTAACACATCTTCCTTACAGTCATATCCAAGAAAGGCTGGGTTGTTACAAAGCACTGGACCAGACCACACTATTCACCAGGATCTTGTTTGTGATGGACAAATGGTAAAATTGTTTTCAGGACAGGTCCCATAACAGACATCCTCCTCAATACCACCAAGGATCTCTTCAGTGAATCTGCTGATCAGGTATTATTCCCAACACAAGTTTCTGCAATAGATAGTCAAAACTGATTGCTGGACATGAGCTAGTTAGTCATCCTCCCAACATTGGGCATTGTACAAAGCTGCTTCAATGGCTGGGGCAGAGTCCAGTTGCCAACCAGCTTGAGGGTGGGGCCTCTGGATTGTGGACAGAGTAAGAATGCTGCCCAAGATTTTGCAGAGGTCAAGGGAAAACAAAACTCGCAGGTATCAAAGGATAAACAAAGGAGTATGGGATCGCCAAACCAGAAAAAAAGGAAAAAGTATCCATCCTTTACAGGAAAGACAAGTGTACTGGAAAATGAACAAAGTCAGACAAAAGTATGAAATCATTTGAAATAATATGTAGCCCTCTAGTGTGATATTGAAATCCAGCTACCAGAAGGAAAGATAAAATAAACAAATAATGAAGATGATTTGAAGCACAAACTCTTGGACAATCTTTCAAGAGGAAAAACTGTTTTTTATGATTTGAAATATATCCTTTAAATATTCTGCTCCAGAATCAAATCCAATCTTTCCTCTTTGAGCAAAGCCTCTGATCATTTCCATTCCCTCCTTTTCAAAGATGCGCCTTATATCATCTTCCTGACTCAACCATTCTGACAATTCATCACCCCTATTTTTGATTTTCAAATATGTTTTCCCAAATTCAGAATAGAGCCTCACTGCATCTTTCAGATAGTTCTTATAGATATTGATTCTATATTCCTCTGAATATGGAGCATATCGCTCTTGGAATATCTGATATGAGTCTTCAAGATTTGACAAATATTGTACTCTTGAAGCTTGCAAGATTAACAAGTACCAGTCTTCAACATTTTCATGCAAAAATTTCCAATTCATTGATGTCTCCTTTAGAATACCCTGACAGATCTTGGTGTCAAGAAAATTAAACACCTCCAGAATATATCCTGCAAACATCAAGTGAAACTCATCCATAGGTCCACCACTTAGGTTGCATCCCCTGATTGTCTGCAGGAATATATCTGATAGCTTCTGGACACATTCTTTGAATTCAATTTCACCATTTAAGTTTGATTCAACTTGGGTTTCTTGATTGGATTGAAACTCTTTTGATTCATGAAATTGTTTTATTCTTCTATTGATGTATTCATTTCTGGAAATTGAAGTCCATGTATTATACCAGTTTTCCCTGTTGATCCCTGCAGAATGAAAATCATAATCACTCAATCTGTTGAAAGCATACAGAAAATAATATATTCCTGAATGCATAAAATCAAGTTGTAATATATCTTGTTGAGCTTTAGTTAGACCTGTTCATATCAAACAAAAAAGAATGAGTTATTTTAGATATGTTAAGAAAATATTTGAATTTCTGGAGAAATAGAATGTGGAATTCAAAAACCTACTACTAAATAATTTATCACTCATTGACCAGGACCAGTGTTTCTTGATGTCAACTATAGGTTGGCCCATACTTATAGGATACTGCTTTATTTTCTCAAGAAACTGTTCAAGGTAATTGCTTGCTTCAAGCAATACATCTGTGTCTTCAAAGAAGCTTTGCAAAATTTCCTGATTGATGAAGCCATTCCTAAACAAGAGATTCACTGTTCTGAATATAAAACGGTTTATTCTCAATCTATAATACAAGATTATTTCAGGCCTTTGATGAATCAGCTCCTTCTTCAGTTCATCCAAAAATAAAGTGGCATATTTTTTCAATTGATCATCTGGAATCAAGGACAACTGCTCCAATGAGTAGTTGCTGAACAACCATTCTACATCTTCAAGAGTTTGATCGTCTTTGATTGAGAATCTGAGAGGCTCTATTCCTGTAATCCTTTGATTGAGCTTTGCTAACTCTGCAAACTTGATTTTCATCATAATTTTTATGTTTCTTTCAAATTTTAAATAAAATGTGGTCAGCCAAGGCTGTGAAAAAGCAATACTTTTCTCCAGTCTGGTATACTCTTCCAACTCTTCAATAAATGGTCTCAATTTCTCTATTGTATAACCAGAAGATAGAGTCAACATTCTGTTATTGGCACTTCTTAATAAATAATTCATACAAAATCTCACCTTCACCTTGTGCTTCACCTGCGATTATCTCAAACACTTTAAATTTTATCATCATCAGTTTGAAGTTCTATCATCCATCAAAATAATCTCAGTTTTTCAACAATTTACTGACATTCTTGCAAAGTTAAAGGCTTCAATAGACCTGTGATATCATTGGTTGGTGATAATTTTTGCTTCTTTGCACAATGATTTTCAGGGGTTTGAGACGTATGAGCTGGTGAAAACTTCTGATTGCCCTCAGGCTCAACTTCAAAAGCCTGTGCTTCAAGAGGATGAATTGAGTGTTCTGTTCCAACGTTTTCCCTGTGGGGTGATTCTTCAACACCCCCAGTGATTGGTGCAGTTTGTGCATGGGTAATGTCTTCAGCCACACTGTGAGATGCAGCACCTGCCATTGATTGTGGATGTTGAAAGGAGGAGAATTTCAGAGAAAAGAATCATCATCAACAATATGAAATGTCCAAACTACAGACCATCAACATGGGATCCCTCATCACTGCCTTCCACACCATTCAACACAGATGGAAGTGTTTCAAGAAAAACACATGGGCTAAAGCACAGAACAACAAGCAGGAACTTGAAAATCATTTCTAAAATAAAAGATAATTTGATTTGATACTTGACCTTTTAGTTTTGTTGATTGGAACTATAATTCAAATGACCCCAAACTGACATCTTTATGTCGTTTTTATTAGTCCTAAAGATCCAGGACTGAGTACTGGGAAAAGATGACACATCTATGACAGTTAAAACTTGTTCTTTAAACTGTATATGTGTGAAGAGATGATTTAAATAAACATACTATACAGCTTTTCCAGTGCACCCTCTGAGCTGAGACTGACTTTCAGACAATGCTTCAGTGCTTACATATTCTGGTCAAAAATTTCCACTTGAAAACCAACTCAGTAATCTTACTGTGACAAGATATACAATTGAAATATTTCAGGGTGGTTACTTATGTAAAACTCTATCCTTAACCTGAAACATACTTGAGGTTTTGGTAATTTTTATTGAAACATGCTCATCAGAAACTTGTTGGAACTTTATGGAGAGACAACTAGAATCATACCATTTTGCTGCACAGATTTGTGTGAATTACATAATGTACAATGCTTGATTAGTAACAGTATGTCTCATTTTTTTGTTTGGGTTTTGAAAGTCAAATGTGGGGGGTTTCAGAATGTCTAAAAGGACAGCTAATAAAGGGGTTGAAATTTAAAATGGGATAGTGTGTAGTTGTCCAAGATTGGAAGTGGTAGACTAGCAGCCAGGGGTTAAGTATTCTGGGATTTGAATACTGGACTTGTCACTCTCTTTGCGGTGATTACACTATGTTGTTGCAGGGGAGACACTAAGCTTCTGCGGGTGATGGTTACCTCTAGGCAATCCAGGAGGCAAATTTTGCACTTGAAGACCCCATTGCATATTTTGTATCTGTTTTGGTTTCATGATTTACTACAGTTGTCCTGAGTACATAACATGTAGAAAGCTGAAGAAACATACTGTTAATAATCAGGAATGATCCATTACATAATTGACACAAAGCTGTGCAGTAACATGGTATCATTAAATTTCTCTCTTCCTAAAGGTCCAACATGTTTCTGATGGACATGTTTCAATAAAAATCACCCAGATCTGAAGTAAGCATCAGGTTAAGTACAGAATTTTACAAACATGACAACTGAACTGTTGTAATTGCATACCTTGAATTTGAAACAGGAATTTTTCTTACTTAGTGTTCAGCTAAAGAATTTTTGACTGCACCAGGAAAACATGACACATCACAGCAAGTTAAAACTTGTCCTTTAGGCTGTATATGTGTGATGAAAATGATGTAAATAAACACACTATACAATTCTTCCAGTTTGCCCTGTGAACTGAGACTGCCATTCAGACAATAATCTGGTACAAGCTGTACAAACTTTCCAAGGAATTGAACCTTTCCTGGTGAGATATTCAAACCCATCCCAGTTTGCCAAGTGAAGGAACCCTTTTTGGGGATTTGGAACAGCATGTACTGCCCTGCAACAAAAGTGAACTCTTTGAAATGATTGAACATCCAGTACCAGATTTATGGAGGGAGGAATGAGTCCCAGAAAGTGACTACCATCTGTGAATGTCTGCTGAGGAATTGCTCCCCCCCCTCTTGGTGAAATGGGACCTATTGTGCCAGATTGACATGTTCAGGCTGTAAAATTGTGGGAAATCCAATGCACAAAAGAGAGCTCCCTGGTTTGCTCCAGGGAGAGCACAGGAGGGCACAACATCACATTTTCAGAAATGTGAATTTGCAAGGTTAGTAGAATCAGGGGATCAATGAATAGAGACAAAAAATGAATGATCCAAGAGATAAACCATCTTATATGATCAAAAAAATTAGTGAAAGAAGAAAAAATGAACAAAATTTGGAATAGAAATTGTTGGTAGATCTATTTCCTTCAAGAAGAGAAAATGTTTTTCATTGTTTTCAAGATATCCTTTAGATCTTCTGTAGCATACTTGAAGTCAATATTTCCTCTTTGAGCAAACCTTTGTATCATTCTGATTCCCTCCTTGTCAAAGATATCCTTGATTTTGGTTTGTTGACTCAACCATTCTGACAATCTATCATCCCTATTTTTTATTCTCAAATATGTTCTCCCAAATTCTGAATAGATCCCCACTGCCTCTTTCACATAGTCTTTGTAGATGTCAGCTGTATAGTCCTCCAAATATGGATAATATTGGTCTTGGAATATGTGATATGACTCTTCAATACTTGATAAATACTGTACTCTTGAAGCTTGCAAGATTACCAAATACCAGTCTTCAACATTTTCTTGAATAGAATTCCATTTCATTGATGTCTCCTTCAAAATACCCTTAGATATTTTTGTTTCAATAAAATTTAAGATCTCCAGGATGTAGCCTGAGAACATCAATTGAAATTCATCCATAGGACCACCACTGTTATCACGTCCCCTGATTGTTTGCAAAAAGATATCTGATAGAATGTGGACATATTCTTTGAATTCCACCTCTCCATTCAAGTTTGATTCAGCTTTGGTTTCTTGATTGGGTTGCAAGTCTTTCAATTCATGAAATTTCTTTATTTTCATATTGATGTATTCATTTCTTGATATTGAATTCCATATGAAATCCCAGTCATGTGTGGTGATCCTCCCAGCCGTGAGAGAGGAATCACTCTTCAAATTAAAAATGTGTATGTAATCATATATTCCTGAATGCATAAGATCAAGCTGTATCATATCTTCTTGTGGCTTAGTGAGACCTGCTTACCCCATAAATCAAAGAAGGGGTGTTTAGATTATATAATAATAAAACTTTGTTTCTTGCTAAAATAAGGTACAATTGAAAAACTCACTCCTAAAGAATTCATCATTCATTGGCCAGGTCCAGTGTTTCTTTATATCAACTATTGGATAACCCAAGCTTATAGGATACTGCTTGAGCTCTTCAAGAAACTCCTCCAGGTCATGGCGTGCTTCAATCAAAACATCTATGTCTTCAAAAAATCTTTGGAAAGTTTCCTGCTTAATGAATCCATTCCTAAACATGAAATCAACAGTTCTGAATATAAACCTGTTGATTCTCACTTGATCATCATGTATAACTTTAGGTCTTTTGTTGATCATTTCTTTCTTCAATTCCCGCAAAATTAAACTACCATATTTTTTTAATTGATCATCTGGGATAAAGGACAACTCCTCCAATGAGTAATTGTTTAGTACCCATTCTACATCTTCAAGAGTTTGATCATCTTTGATTGAGAATCTCAAAGGCTTTATTCCTGAAATCCTTTGATTGATATTTGCCAGTTCCACAAACTTGATTTTCATCATTATTTTTATGTTCCTCTCAAATTTTAAATGAGATGGGGCTAGCCAATCATGCATGAATGTAAAAGTGTTCTTCAAGCCTGTATACTTTTTCAAGTCTTCAATAAATGGTATCAATTTCACTACAATAGGGTAGAATAGAATGGATTTAATATTCTGTTAGTCATGAACAATAAACAAACAAATAAATAAATAAATAATCTCACTTTCACCTCCTTCTTCACCTGTTATTATCTCCAAAACTGAAAAGTGCATCATTAGTTTAATATGATGTCATCTGTCAATCATTTTTCAGGAATTAGATGATTAACACTGCAAGAAAAAGTCGAGCAACTGCTAGCAGCTGACATGTGGCAAGTTACAATTAAAACTCAATGCAAGCTGAGGTCAGTGTGTTGACATAATGTGGTGGTGCCACCCTGAGAATTCAAAGGGGTGGACCAGAACAATGTGCCATGAAAGTGTGAATTGAATTCAAGTTCAGTGCAGAGTATGGTCTGAGCTCTTAAATGTCAACTGACACCAGTTGCTTGACTTTTTCTTGTCATGTGACTAACCTTCTTCCAAATCCAAAGGCTTGGATAGAGCCTTATCCCCATGGGTTTCCAATGCTTGTTGGTTCCCCCCATGATGCGTTTCAGAGTCTTGGGGTGCATACTTTTGTAAATATTGCTCATTCCCCACATGATTTACTGCAAAAGCATGTGCTTCAAATGGATGAAGTGAGTTTTCAGCACCCAAAATTTGCTCATGAGGTGATTCTTCAACCCTCTCAAGGGATGGTACAGCTTCCACATGGGTAGAGTCTTCAGTCACAGCAAGAGATGCAGCACCTGTAATTGAGTTTGGAGTTGAAAGGGGGAGAATGTAAGAGCCAAAAATTCATCATCAAGAAGGAAAAATAATGTTGAAGCTACAGACCATCAATATGGGACTCCTCATCACTTCCTTCCACACTAGTGAGGACAGATGGGACCGTCTCAAGAAAACCAGCTGGGATAAAGCACAGACCAAGAAACAAGAACTTGAGAATCATTTCTCAAATAAGAGATAATTTGAGTTGAGACTTGGCCTTTTAGTGTTGTGGATGATTAGATGAAAAAGCTATATTCCACACTGCCCTCTTTATATTGTTTGTCAGAGTCCTCAACACCAAAGTGCTGCCAACTGACCAACTCCACATGTTACAGTCAAGTCAAAACTTGCATCATACAATGTGCGGGCATGATGTAAATAAACAGAATATCTATACACTTTGTCCAGTGCGTACTTTTCACTGAGACTGCCTCTCAGTGGGTGCTGCGGTGTTTAAATCTGGGTGATATCACCGGTGTTTGGACATCCTGGGATGAATACCAAGCTCAAAGCACCATGTGCAAAAACAATTCATGCGCTGTGTCAGGTTGCACAGTCCTGATTACAGAACATGACATTCAATCCGCAGCCGAGACACAACCACTGCCGATTGGATTTCAAGCTGTCCAATCAGGACCGCGCAAGCTGATGTGGTCGAGTGGTTTCAGGATCCCTAAACATGTGTTAAACTCTCTATGTACCTTTTAGAATATGACAATGATGTCACGTCGTAATGTCGACGCGCCAACACTCGTCAACCACATAGAGGGCCAAGATGTATATGTTTTTGAGCCCTTCTTGCCAGTGCTTTAATGCTGATAGTAGTTGTTGTGAGAGGAAATGTACTCTGGACAGCAGTAGCCGATAAGTGAACTAAACCTGATCCAACTTGTGCAACCTCTTAAATATACTGGTGAGCTCGGGGTCTTGCTTGAACCAGCTTAACACAATCCCCTCATTCTATTCAGAGGGCTTGCTTTGTGCCAGCCTGGCATAGGCCATCCAATCGAGGGGCTTGCATTGAGTGAGGGTCTTGAAGCGTGAAGTTTTTCGAAAAATTGATCAGGCTACATAAGCGTTGACTTGCGGTCAGTTATTTGCTGCCCAAGCGATGCGATTTTTAAGTGTACAAAAGTGAACCCCATGATGAGGTGTGGGAGCCAGTGTTGATCCTCGATGGGACTTGTTCATGCTTCAATCCACTGCCTCAACTTCCACCACCCACCCCGGATTCAATGGCCAAAAAGCGCCAGTTGTAATATTAGCCTTGGACTAGGTGTGGGAAACTTTGAGGCAATGATCTGACCAATGATCTTTAATTGATGGAGCGGTCCAGTTGCTCTTCTCAAAGGCACTAGCAGGAAACTCGACACAATAGGCATCCGCCCTTTTTGACCACAAAACCATTCCCCCATTTGGCTTTTGGCCCCATATATCTTTGATCTCTTCTCAGTTGCAAACCAAACATGTTCATATAAATAGCGACCTCACAAATTGATTGTGGATGTTGAAAGGAGGAGAATTTCAGAGAAAAGAATTATTCATCAAGGAAATGAAATGTCCAAACTACAGACCATCAACATGGGATCCCTCATCACTGCCTTCCACACCATTAAACACAGATGGAACTGTTTCAAGAAAAACACATGGGCTAAAGCACAGAACAACAAACAGGAACTTGAAAATCATTTCTAAACAAAAGATAATTTGATTTGATACTTGGCCTTTTAGTTTTGTTGATTGCAACTATAATTCAAATGAACCCAAACTGACCTCTTTATGTTGTTTTTGTTAGTTCTAAAGATCCGGGCCTGACTGGAAAAAGATGACACATCTATGACAGTTAAAACTTGTCCTTTAAACTGTATATGTGTGAGGAGATGATTTAAATAAACATACTATACAGCTTTTCCAGTGCACCCTATGAGCTGAGACTGAATTTCAGACAATGCTTCAGTGCTTACATATTCTGGTCAAAATTTTCCTCTTTTCAGGGTGGTTACTTATGTAAAGCTCTATCCTTAACCTGAAACATACTTGAGGTTTTGGTAATTTTTATTGAAACATGCTCATCAGAAACTTGTTGGAACTTTATGGAGAGACAACTAAAATCATACCGTTTTGCTGCACAGATTTGTGTCAATTACATAATGTAAAATCCTTGATTAGGAACAGTATGTCTCATTTTTTTGTTTGGGTTTTGAAACTGAAATGTGGGGGGTTTCAGAATGTCTAAAAGGACAGCTAATAAAGGGGTTGAAATTTAAAATGGGATAGTGTGTAGTTGTCCAAGATTGGAAGTGGTAGACTAGCAGCCAGGGGTTAAGTATTCTGGGATTTGAATATTGGACTTGTCACTCTCTTTGCAGTGATTACACTATGTTGTTGCAGGGGAGACACTAAGCTTCTGCGGGTGATGGTTACCTGTATGCAATCCACGCGCCAAATTTTGCACTTGAAGACCCCATTGCATATTTTGTATCTGTTTTGTTTTCATGATTTACTACAGCTGTCCTGAGTACATATCCTCTCACCACTACATGTAGAAAGCTGAAGAAACATACTGTTAATAATCAGGCATGGTCCATTAAATAATTGACACAAAGCTGTGCAGTAACATGGTATCATTAAATTTCTCTCTTCCTAAAGGTCCAACATGTTTCTGATGGGCATGTTTCAATGAAAATTACCAAAATCTGAAGTAAGCATCAGGTCAAGTACAGAATTTTAAAAACATGACAACTGAGCTGTTGTAGTTGCATACCTTGAAACAGGTATTTTTCTTACTTAGTGTTCAGCTAGAGAATATTTGACTGGACCGGGAAAACATGCCACATCACAGCAAGTTAAAACTTGTCATGTAGGCTGTATATGTGTGAGTAAATGATGTAAATAAACACACTATACAATTCTTCCAGTTTGCCCTGTGAAATGAGACTGCCTTTCAGACAATAATCAGGTACAAGCTGTACAAACTTTCCAAGGAAATGAACTTTTCCTGGTGAGATTTTAAAACCCATCCCAGTTTGCCAAGTGAAGGAACCCTTTTTGGGGATTTGGAACAGCATGTACTGCCCTGCAACAAAAGTGAACTCTTTGAAATGATTGAACATCCAGTACCAGATTTATGGAGGGAGGAATGAGTCCCAGAAAGTGACTACCATCTGTGAATGTCTGCTGAGGAATTGCTCCCCCCCCTCTTGGTGAAATGGGACCTATTGTGCCAGATTGACATGTTCAGGCTGTAAAATTGTGGGAAATCCAATGCACAAAAGAGAGCTCCCTGGTTTGCTCCAGGGAGAGCACAGGAGGGCACAACATCACATTTTCAGAAATGTGAATTTGCAAGGTTAGTAGAATCAGGGGATCAATGAATAGAGACAAAAAATGAATGATCCAAGAGATAAACCATCTTATATGATCAAAAAACTTAGTGAAAGAAGAAAAAATGAACAAAATTTGGAATAGAAATTGTTGGTAGATCTATTTCCTTCAAGAAGAGAAAATGTTTTTCATTGTTTTCAAGATATCCTTTAGATCTTCTGTAGCATACTTGAAGTCAATATTTCCTCTTTGAGCAAACCTTTGTATCATTCTGATTCCCTCCTTGTCAAAGATATCCTTGATTTTGGTTTGTTGGCTCAACCATTCTGACAATCTATCATCCCTATTTTTTATTCTCAAATATGTTCTCCCAAATTCTGAATAGATCCCCACTGCCTCTTTCACATAGTCTTTGTAGATGTCAGCTGTATAGTCCTCCAAATATGGATAATATTGGTCTTGGAATATGTGATATGACTCTTCAATACTTGATAAATACTGTACTCTTGAAGCTTGCAAGATTACCAAATACCAGTCTTCAACATTTTCTTGAATAGAATTCCATTTCATTGATGTCTCCTTCAAAATACCCTTAGATATTTTTGTTTCAATAAAATTTAAGATCTCCAGGATGTAGCCTGAGAACATCAATTGAAATTCATCCATAGGACCACCACTGTTATCACGTCCCCTGATTGTTTGCAAAAAGATATCTGATAGAATGTGGACATATTCTTTGAATTCCACCTCTCCATTCAAGTTTGATTCAGCTTTGGTTTCTTGATTGGGTTGCAAGTCTTTCAATTCATGAAATTTCTTTATTTTCATATTGATGTATTCATTTCTTGATATTGAATTCCATATGAAATCCCAGTCATGTGTGGTGATCCTCCCAGCCGTGAGAGAGGAATCACTCTTCAAATTAAAAATGTGTATGTAATCATATATTCCTGAATGCATAAGATCAAGCTGTATCATATCTTCTTGTGGCTTAGTGAGACCTGCTTACCCCATAAATCAAAGAAGGGGTGTTTAGATTATATAATAATAAAACTTTGTTTCTTGCTAAAATAAGGTACAATTGAAAAACTCACTCCTAAAGAATTCATCATTCATTGGCCAGGTCCAGTGTTTCTTTATATCAACTATTGGATAACCCAAGCTTATAGGATACTGCTTGAGCTCTTCAAGAAACTCCTCCAGGTCATGGCGTGCTTCAATCAAAACATCTATGTCTTCAAAAAATCTTTGGAAAGTTTCCTGCTTAATGAATCCATTCCTAAACATGAAATCAACGGTTCTGAATATAAACCTGTTGATTCTCACTTGATCATCATGTATAACTTTAGGTCTTTTGTTGATCATTTCTTTCTTCAATTCCCGCAAAATTAAACTACCATATTTTTTTAATTGATCATCTGGGATAAAGGACAACTCCTCCAATGAGTAATTGTTGAGTACCCATTCTACATCTTCAAGAGTTTGATCATCTTTGATTGAGAATCTCAAAGGCTTGATTCCTGAAATCCTTTGATTGATATTTGCCAGTTCCACAAACTTAATTTTCATCATTATTTTTATGTTCCTCTCAAATTTTAAATGAGATGGGGCTAGCCAATCATGCATGAATGTAAAAGTGTTCTTCAAGCCTGTATACTTTTTCAAGTCTTCAATAAATGGTATCAATTTCACTACAATAGGGTAGAATGGAATGGATTTAATATTCTGTTAGTCATGTTCAATAAAAAAACAAATAAATAAATAAATAATCTCACTTTCACCTCCTTCTTCACCTGTTATTATCTCCAAAACTGAAAAGTGCATCATTAGTTTAATATTATGTCATCTGTCAATCATTTTTCAGGAATTAAATGATTAAAACTGCAAGAAAAAGTCAAGCAACTGCTAGCAGCTGACATGTGGCAAGTTACAGTTAAAACTCAATGCAAGCTGAGGTCAGTGTGTTGACATAATGTGGTGGTGCCACCCTGAGACTTCAAAGGGGTGGACCAGAACAATGTGCCATGAAAGTGTGAATTGAACTCAATTTCAGTGCAGAGTATGGTCTGAGCTCTTAAATGTCAACTGACACCAGTTGCTTGACTTTTTCTTGTAATGTGACTAACCTTCTTCCAAATTCAAAGGCTTGGATAGAGCCTTATCCCCATGGGTTTCCAATGCTTTTTGGTTCCCCCCATGATGCTTTTCAGGGTCTTGGGGTGCATACTTTTGTGAATATTGCTCATTCCCCACATGATTTACTGCAAAATCATGTGCTTCAAATGGAAGAACTGAGTTTTCAGCACCCAAAATTTGCTCATGAGATGATTCTTCAACCCTCTCAAGGGATGGTACAGCTTCCACATGGGTAGAGTCTTCAGTCACAGCGAGAGATGCAGCACCTGTAATTGAGTTTGGAGTTGAAAGGGGGAGAATGTAAGAGCCAAAAATTCATCATCAAGAAGGAAAAATAATGTTGAAGCTACAGACCATCAATATGGGACTCCTCATCACTACCTTCCACACTAGTGAGGACAGATGGGACCGTCTCAAGAAAACCAGCTGGGATAAAGCACAGACCAAGAAACAAGAACTTGAGAATCATTTCTCAAATAAGAGATAATTTGAGTTGAGACTTGGCCCTTTTAGTGTTGTGGATGATTATATGAAAAAGCTATATTCCACACTGCCCTCTTTATATTGTTTGTCAGAGTCCTCAACACCGGCGCACTGCCAACTGACCAACTCCACGTCTTACAGCCAAGTGAAAACTTGCAGCACATGATGTAAATAAACAGAATATCTATACACTTTGTGGAGTGCGCACTTTCAACTGAGACTGCTTCTCAGCCGTAGGTGCTGCGGTGCTTACATCTGGGTGATCTCACCGGTGTTTGGACATCCTGAGCTGAATACCAAGTTCAAAGCACCATGTGCAAACAACAATTCATGTGCTGTAATCAGCTTGAGCGGTCCTGATTACAGAACTTGACATTCAATCCTCAGTCGAGACACAGTCACTGCGGAAACGATACACCCATCAGATTTCGGTAGGTTTGCTTGAGATGAACCTACTTTGTACCCAAAAACGGCATATCTCTTACTCACAAACACGCTGGAACCTATAGGGAGCGGGAACCCGAATGATGTCGCGTCGTGACGTCGACGCGCCGACACTAGCGTCAATTACATAAAGGGCCAAGATGTGTTTGTTTTTTGAGCGTTTCTTGCAAGCGCTTTAATGCTGATAGTACTATGTACAGTTGTTGTGAGGGGAAATGTACTCTAGAGAGCAGTAGCCGATCGGTGAACTAGACCTGATCCTGCAACTTGTGCAATCTATAAATGATGAGCTCGGCGGCTTGAAGCGCGAAGTCAGGCCAAGCGTTGACTTGGGATCAGTTTTGTGCTTCCCAAGCGATGTGATTCGTTATAAGTCCAGAGTGAGCTCACGATGAAGGACTCCCGAATGAGCATGTACCAGGTGGCTTGAACCCCATGATGAGGTAAATATGTGAGCTGTTGATCCTCGATGGGACTTGTTCATGGCCTTAATCCACTCCCTCAAAAGGAAATGATAATCATTCATCGGAGACACAACCGTGTCGCACAGGCGAAAAAAAGGTAACATGGTAATTTTTGAGATGTGGAATCTTGGGTAATCAGATACATAGAACTATGTCACCCAGGAGAAAAAGAAAAGATAGCATGATGATTTTCAAGATGTTTGATTTGATCACGTCCCAAGTTCAGGCCCCCGCGAGATTGTGGTTGCGATAATTCGGATGAGTGATGTGGTGGTAATTTTCGATGATAATTGTGATCAGGGTCGTTACGAAATCAGCTACTAGGCATTAGGAACTTCATGACATCCAGATTTGATGTAATCATTGTAATAGACTATCAACGGATCATCGGCACTCCGGGAATCCTAGACAATTCAGATTGGGTGAGTAATTTATAATTTGGTGGTCAGGAAGCGCTCCTGCTCGGCGGAACCGGCTAGCTTTCAGCCAAGGGGATGATGATGGGAAGAACTCGACTTACGACGTCCCCCACAGCAAAATCGCAGCACGTGCCTTTTGGAGTTCCGAAGGGAAGTTTCGAGTACTCGCATGTCCAGAATTTACTAGGATTCGATGCGTGGGTCGCCGGGCCGACTGGAGAATCATAGCAAGGGAGCATTGGGCAGATCGAGAGATGAGAGGGTTTTGAGGTTTGAGTCAGCCCATCGGGTCATCCATCCTATTCTTCATATCAGGGTTCGAGAGTAAACATACAGGCATAGTTTATTGGTATGGTTCCTCTGTCCTCGAATGCACAATATCCATTCGTACATGCGAAGAGCGTCTTGGACCCTGCAGCGCAAGCGTTCACTATGAGGAGCATGAAGATCACTGAGAGCAGGTTGGTCAAGTTTGAGAAATGCATTTGGTAAATAGGAACTTGTGATCGGGTTGATGGTGCTGGTGCAGAGTGTAGAGACTCGCGATGAAGTGACTAAAGAAGAGGAACTCTGGACTTCTAGAGAAAAAGACTGAAGGAGAACTGGGGAAAAACCCCGATGCAGGCTAACCATGTTATGTAGCTTTCCGAAACACAGTGTACATAGGTGGGCGTCGTCCACGGCGCCGCCTCCCTTACCAATGGAGGCCTCGTGGAGAGGCTTACGCCCCTCGGCCGGATCGGGCCCGAGCGGAGTTGAGAGGACCTGGGTCCTAAACACGTGCCCTTCGGCCTTCCTCCCGATTTGTAGTCTTGAAGTACCTCGCCCTCTTACACCACGGGAGCACCTCGGCGGCAATCCGGCAAGGGTTTTGCTGGGCGAACCGACCGCCCCCGACCCAGTTGCGGACAGGCAGGAGGTCGGCGAATCGACCCATGTCTGCCGGGCGGGCAGTGCGTCGGAATGGGTCATCCCGACTGCATATAGACAATTGTCTCAGCGGTCTGAGACCCCCTGAGATTATGGATCCACGCTCCTGCAGGCACGCCGACCTCCCTTTGCGGATGCAATGGCCGAACAGCGCGAGCTGTAATATTAGCCTTGGACTGTAGGTGTGGGAAACTTCGAGGCGATGAGCTGACCGATGATCTTTACTGTCATGGAGCGGTCCGGTCGCTCTTCTTCAATGCCGACCGACTAGCAGGAAACTCGAGACGATATATGGGCATCCGCCCTTTTCGACCACAAAAGCTTTCCCCCATTTGGCGTTCGAGCCCAGATATCTTTGATCTCTTCTCAGTTGCAAAGCAAACGTCTCTATCTATATAAACAGCGACCTCATTAACGTTTTCCCGACCAGCAATATGAATTTCTTGAGTTCGGCGATGGCTTTCATATTAGTCCTAATAGTAGCTCTCGGCCATCCGACAACTGCGCAGGGTTGGCGGGATTACCAAGCGGTTGACTTGCTATGCACGGGCACGAAAACCCAAGCACTTTGTGGGACTACCATCAAGACAGGATACTCGGGTGAGCACATACATACATCGTGCACATCTTTATTATTACAATTTTACACGAGTCTTTCTGAACTTGTGGAGACTCAAGAGGACCCCAATGGCTTTGTTTGTTTTGCTCTGGATTGACTGTCATAGTCATCCTGGCCACTCCAGTCGACCCAGCCAACGGGAAACACAACTGCATCAACTCGCGCTCACCGGACAAGATATGTTGTTCCGCAAATACGGCTCCGTTGAATAATGTGGTCAGCATACATAAATATTACATGCTGTCTTTTTGAACTCACTTTGATTAACTCATTCATTATCACTTCTCTTGGTCGAACATTGCTCATACACTTTTAGGACCAAACTCCTGTGGACTTATCCAGCGTGACATTCGCTCAAAACTGTGAAACAAAAAATAACTGAGCTTGACTGCTCAAGTTTCAATCGTGAGGATGTGACGATGGGAGCCTTTTCTGGATTTCGGATCTTTATCTTGTATTCAACATAAATGACTTACTAGAATTCTGTAGCAAAACTTTCTTCAGAATTGAATTACCATGCAGTGGGCGCTTCGACATATACGCCCTTATTGCCTTGAGCATCTGAGATCATTGTGATGGGCATTTGAAGGCCATCAACTTATCATACTCAAGTATCAACTGTGTCACACATCATTTTTTTTTTGTGGTCTAAATGATTTTCTTATGAAAACATCCTTCCAAAAAATAGAGACAACATAAATCAAAACTAATATGAGTAAAATAATCAAAACATTGGAAAAAATGAGAACAAACAGAGTATTCAAGTAAGAAAAAGACAAAGGAAGTTGGAGAGAGATTTGGTTAATAAGTTAGGTAGTTCTAGAGATGAATACAACAACAAGAATGTGAAAAAGACAAGTGACCTTTTTTTTTTAAAAAAAAAGGAATAAATACGTATAATGAATAAATGAAAAGTTGAAGAATGAATGAATGAAAGCAAGAAGCTGGAAGATAGAAACCAACCAACCAACGAAGGGGAAAAAAAAGTAGGAAGAAGAACGAGATCAAGTCTGACCGTAATCCGCCCTAGGAGGTCTAGGTTTGGAGAGGGAGGCCTTAACAGCGCCGGATTCCCACCTGGATTTGAGATCATTAACGGAGGTAAACGTCTGCTCGTCGGGGTCGCCGATTTGATCCTCGAGAGCATCCACCGAAGCCGGCGTGGTGATCGAAGTATTGGACGAAAGGGTGCGATTGAGGCCAGGGCCGAGGGCCTTGAACGGGATATGAGAGGGCTTCGACGAAGAGCCAGCTGGAAGGGTCTGATGGACATTGTGGTCAGTTTTCTCGACCACAGACGTGATCGAAGAAGTCGGTGTAGGCTTGAAGATCGAGAGTCGTTTCGAAGTCAGACTGACATTAGGCGACGAGTGAGAGGAAGAAGACTGGGCAGATTCGGAGACCGAAGAAGACAGGTTTTCGTATCGAGAGACGAGGTTGTTGATCGCGGCCGCCGACTTGAGAGATTGCGGTTTGGGGGCCCTGAGTGGAGGGCCGACGAGTCTCCGCGGGGCTGGTCGGTCCGCCGGAGTGGGCTGCTCCATCGAGGCCCGACTCTCGGCCCGCGACGAGAACGGGTCCCGTGCGAGCGGCTCAGGCTTCGACTCGATCGGACTCGAGGCCGCCGGCGCAAACTTGGCAATCGCCGCCCGACGCCTTTGGCGCACCTCGTCATCTTCCTCCGTCATCGCTTCTGAGGACGATAGCTCACCCGTCGAACTGGCCGAGGGCGTCCAATCCTTCCCGCCTTCTTCGATCACCGGATCCTCGGCTGTGGATTTGATTGAAGGATTTCCAGAGACGGACGACTCGACCGCTGCATTCTTGTGAACGCCTGCAGGAGCTTCCCATGAGCTGGCTTGTAAGTTCGGCTTGAACGTCGGCTTGGCGACTAACGACGTGCCTGGGCCTCGGTAGGCGGTTCGACCTGCTGGCTCTTCGGGCTGCTCGTCGGATGAGCCGCTTGAGGAAGAACCTTCCTGGGTGGGGGAAGCGCTAAGAAGAGGCTTCGATCGAGCTTGGATGTCCTCTGCTCGTGTGCGACTGTCGGAACCAGAAATCTGTGTGTTCCCCCCGTTTTGTTGAGTCAAACGATGATCATCAACAGGCTGATGGGTTGACGAGTGAGCGACATTCAAAACGTTCAACGGTGGAGCTAATGTAAGCTCATTGATCCAACGGCTCAGAAGGCTGGGTGACGTTTGAGTGGATCGACTGACCAATCTTGGCTGGTCTTTTTTCAGCCAATCTGACATCGAAGGTTTCGAGCTGATAGCTGGACCAGTCTTCTGAGTGATGCTTATTTTCCGATAGTTACTGGTCTGTTGAATGCGAGAGGGGAAGGACTGGGGTCCAGTCTTTTGCGAAAGGCTCCCGGTGCCAATCGACATACTGCTTTGGCTGGGTTGGTGCTGAAGTAACCCAGATTTACCGGTTGTGAAGGAAGTATCAGCAGACACCTTTGCAGTGCCGAACGAAGGGCCGGTTGAGGTAGAGGTGACGGTACCAAGGCCATTGCGCATCTCATTCAAAGTTTTAGGAGTACTTTTCTTGCTCAGAGGAACTAGGTCTTCGAAAGCTGAGGATGATGATGATGCATTCTTCGAGTCTTGACGAAGATTGGGAGTTGGCACCGAAGGTTTGAGTGATAGATGAGAGCGAGAGGAAGCTAAAACAGTTCCAAATGAAGTGTTGACAATAGGTTTTGGCCCGACGACCGGCTTGAATGAGTTGATCCGAGGAGAAGGTGACAAGAATGCATCACCGAACCCAGCGGCAGCTTCGCGTGCAAACAAGTCAGACTCTTCCGGGGGCGAGTTTTTATTGTCAGGAAGGGATTTGGAGGTGGTTGGGGGTGGTTGTTGTTGAACGGATTGGAGGAGCGAATCGCCATTCGGAACGGCGAGATCGGACACGGGCTTGCTCTTGACTGTCGGTCTTCCCCTGCGCATCGGGACGACAGAGTCGGCCTCCTTGTTCGATACGGCGGCCGATCGAGGCGCCGTTGTGAAGATTGAATCCAGACCATCTCCGCTGGGCTTGTTGTTTGCCGGTTTGGGGAGAACGGGTTTCGAAACCTGAGGGAGTTGCGAGACGTTTGACGTACTTTGCTTTCTGGTTGGCTTTTGACATCTATGTTAGTGATCTGCTGACAGCTAAGACACAAATTAAAACAATAATAACGATAATGATTGACACACACACGACGAAGATAGGGGGTTACACCACGCAATCTGCAAAGATGTTCGTGTACCTCCCAAATGTCGGGTCGAGATTGGGCCAGCTCTTGAAGCATGGTACCTGTTGAAGCAGCTCTTGCATAAGGAGATTATCCTCTGGACTGAGAAGTTTGATGACTAACCAATCAAGTACTTGATCGAATTACTGTAGGCTGGATAGGATGGAATTTGATATTGTACGTTGACGATAGCTAGGGGACCGTGTGCTTCGAATGGAGTGGTGTAATAGCAAAGCTTATAGAGAAAGACCCCGAGTGCCCATATATCTGAGATCGGAGATCAGCCAAGATTGATAATCAGTAAAAAATAACCAGAACTGTAGTATAGATGAAGGAACTTGCCAGCTTTTTCGGTGACGCCCTTCCGACTCCAGACGTCAACCATCTCGGGAGCCCGATACTGTAGGGTGGTGTGCTTGTTAAGATCGGCTTCGAGGGCGAGGATTTCAGCGGAGGATTGAGGGGGACTTGGTAATGGGCTGGTAGTTGAGCCAAAGTCGCAGAGTTTGTAGAGGTTGGGTGAGGCGACAAGGATGTTTTCGACCTAAAGTTAATAATTTGGAGGGGAGGCGGCGGATCAATTCTTCAGGATCTCTGTTGGGAGAGAATAACAAGGAGGAGACAATTGATTTTTTTTTTCGATGAGGCACCTTGAGATCTCTGTGGATGAGGATTGGGTTTTGACTGTGCATGTGTGCTACGGCTGAGACGGTATCACTGAATATCTTGAGGATCTCAGATTCGGTGAGTCTGTTTTGAAGCCTTGAGTTGAGGAGATCGATGATTCCACCGCCTGTTTGATAGATGATGATGATGAGTGGTATGATGGGAGGAGGAGGAGGAGGACAGTATTGAAGACTCGCCTGGACACCATTCCATGAGGATGAAGATTTCATAGCCAGTGCTGGCAGGGATAGATGAGGCCGAGGCTTCGATGAAATAGACGATATGTTTGTGTGGTCGAAGTTGCTTCATCACGTCCACCTCCTTGCGCACTTCGACTAGACCTGGCTTATCTGGCACGGCCATCCTCTTGAGTACGAATCGGTTCTGAGTGACCGGGAACCCCTCGACGCTGGATGGCGAGACCAGACTGGCAACGTAGACATGTGCGAAACCACCTGCAGTGATCATGATGATCATTATTATCAATTCCCAGAGTAAACAGATTGGCAGATTGATGAAGAACAGACTGACCTTCACTGAGGAATTTCTCGACCTGGACTACATACTGGCCCACTTGAACTTTTGTACCCGGCTGGAGTTTTCCTGATGATCCTGAGGCAGTGATTGGCTGTTCTGGGTTATTCAGTCGATTGGTTTGGTGGTTGTAGGTGGTTGCCATGATGCTGGTGATGGTGGTGGTTGAGTTTGAGTAGTAGCAGATGGCGGTCATTGGAGTTTGAGCTGCTGCTGCTACTACTAGGCTGGGTATGCTTCTATCGAGTGTGTGCTGCTGCTGTATGCTTATATCGAAACCAACTACCAACTTCCTCTTCCTCTCCTTCCTTCTCTCTCCTTCCTCCTTTCTTCCCTCCCCAGCAGACTACTACTACAACATACATACTAGTTGACCGTCTTTCTTTACTCTCGAAGCCCGTCGTAACTCATACGGGAATCAACTGAGTGAGGAAACTAGCACCATCCCTCGTCAGTCTCCTCATCCTCCATTCCCTGCCCCGATCGATCGATCATCTTCCTGCCTCCCTTGACTTGCTCGTTAACTAACCCTCATTCATCGACTCAGTCCTTCATCCCCATACTATACTAAACACCCAGAAACTCTAGTAGTTCCATCAAACCACAATGCGTGAAGTAATCAGTTTGCACGTCGGTCAAGCCGGTTGTCAACTCGGAAATGCCTGCTGTACGTCACCGATCGAACTCCGTAGCTCATCATCGATCAACTCAAAAACTGATGATGATCTACCACCTTCTTCTTACAGGGGAACTTTACACCATCGAACACGGTAAGTTACCTTTGGATCTGGATTCTCACTTCACCAGAATCCTACTCATCCTATCCACCCCTCCTCAGGTTTGAGTCCCGATGGTCGAATCGGCTCTCCCACCGCCAGAGGTGACGACGGTTTCAGTACCTTCTTTAGCGAGACTGGTGCTGGGAAATACGTCCCAAGGTTTGTCCGATCGATCGCTTCTATCCTAAGCCACCCCGGCAGGAGTGTCGCCCGTTTCGCCTTTGCTGATGGTTGTCATTTCCCGATCGTAGGAGTATCTACATCGATTTAGAACCCAATGTGGTCGATGAAGTCCGAACTGGGACTTACCGAAGTCTCTTCCACCCCGAAACCTTGGTCACTGGTAAAGAAGGTATGTCCCATCCTCATCCCTCCCATCGATCATTCTCCAACTTCAAGCATCGATCCTGATCACCCTCTCATCAACAGATGCCGCCAACAACTATGCCCGTGGTCATTACACCGTCGGAAAGGAACTCATCGATATCTCGATGGACCGAATCCGAAAGTTGGCAGACAACTGTACCGGTCTCCAGGGATTCTTTGTCTTCCACTCCTTCGGTGGTGGGACCGGTTCCGGTTTCGGTGCACTCCTCTTGGAGAGACTCAGTGCTGATTACGGCAAGAAGTCCAAGTTGGAGTTTGCCGTTTACCCGGCTCCTAAGATGTCCAGCTCGGTCGTCGAGCCTTACAACTCCGTCCTCACCACCCACACCACCCTCGAACACGTCGACTGTTCCTTCATGGTCGACAACGAGGCCATCTACGACATCTGCCGAAAGAACTTGGGCGTCCAATCGCCCGGGTTCACCAACCTCAACAGGCTTATCGCCCAGGTCGTCTCCTCGGTCACCGCCTCCTTACGATTCGATGGAAGTTTGAACGTCGATCTCAACGAGTTCCAAACCAACTTGGTCCCCTTCCCCCGAATCCACTTCCCCCTGGCCACCTACGCGCCCATCATCTCTGCCGAGAAGGCTTTCCACGAGTCCAACAGCGTCGCCGAGATGACGATGTCCTGTTTCGAGCCCAACAACCAAATGGTCAAGTGCGACCCCCGCCAGGGCAAATACATGTCCTGCGCCCTCCTCTACCGTGGAGACGTCGTACCCAGAGACGCGAACGCCGCCGTCGCTACCATCAAGACCAAGCGCACCATCCAGTTCGTCGACTGGTGTCCTACCGGTTTCAAGCTCGGGATCTGTAACGAGGCCCCGGCTTGTGTCCCCGGTTCCGACACCGCCAAGGTCAGTCGCAGTTTGTGTATGCTTAGCAACACCACTGCTATCGCTGCCGCATGGAGCAGACTCGACCACAAGTTCGACTTGCTCTACAGCAAACGTGCCTTCGTCCACTGGTCAGTCTTCTCTTTGTTTTTCTTGCTAATCAAGCAAATCAGCTGAGTGTTCGAGCCTATCTCTTTTCAGGTATGTGGGTGAAGGTATGGAAGAGGGAGAGTTCTCGGAAGCTCGAGAAGACTTGGCGGCTCTCGAGAAAGATTACGAGGAGGTTGGCTTGGACGGTGGTGACGAAGAGGATGTTGGTGAATACTAGAGAGAGAAGATTCATCTTCGCTAGTCTAATGATCATTTTTTTCTTCAGAGCAAAGCCTTGAGGCGTTTTCTTGACCTCTTATTTATGGGAAAAGACGTGTCTTTTGGTTTTTCGTGTCGCAGTCCCTTCTTCTCTAGAATAAATAATACGCGTTGAATTACTTTTAAGAGAAAACATCTTGCAAGCACATTCTAGATGAAACTCTTGCAATCATGAGAGAGTGAAGAGCAGTCAATTCCTACAATCTTGAGTTTTTGGATTCGATTGACTAAATCATGAATCATAATCCTTGAATTCTAAAAAAAGATAAGTCCAGAAGAAACGGAGTTGTCAGTGAGAACACTTGCGGGGATTTTTGAGACCACTGAAATGGATGCCTGGTGAAAAGGTTGTAGTCAACTTTTCCTATAGCTCATTCCTCATGGCCTGGCATGAGCTAATTTGATTGCTTAAAAAAGTTTGTCAGAAGTTTGTCTATGATTATCAACCAATTATGTAGGCCGGTTCAAACTTCACATCTGAAGTTCCAGGCAAAGTTTAGCACATTCAATATCAACAAAATTTTGTGGATTTTGTCAAACCTCCTGAATCATCAGTATTGGTGCAATTGAAGATTCTTAACAAGTTTGTAGAATTTTGATGATAAATCCCATGAAATTTGGCTCAAATTTCAGATGAGAACCATCATATTTGTAGGATAAGTTGTGTGACTTCAATACTCAGGAGCATAGTCCTGTGAGGGACTCATGGGGAAGAACATGTTGGATGGTATACTTAGCTCTTGGTTCATGAAGAGGCTCTCAAGTCACGTACTTATTCACTGGAATAGTGACTTGACAGCTTGGTTTACAATAACACTACATACAAAATGAATCAAAACTCAAGAAAATTGACTAGATTTACATTCTTTGATGATGGAGAGAAAAGAAAGTTGATTGGTTAGTGTATATGGCTATTTAATGCTTTGCTTGTTTTTGCTGTTTTGAAGTGCTTTTTTGAATTTTTGTTTTTGTTTTTGTTGAAGAATAAGAAAAGAAGAACAAAAAGGGGGGAAGTGTGTACTAGAATGAAGATTCTTGACACTCTATGTAATTCCAAGAAAATGGTAAGGATCTGAAACCAGAAGCAGTGATCTTGTGTAGACAAGTTGAAGGAGCCAGGAAGATATGTGCAAAGTCTCAAGCATGTTGCTAATGCTATGTAAAGGAGTGGTGATTGATTCATGTGGTGTTGATGATGTGCTGTATGTATATGTGAGGATTTTTGTTTTTTCAAAGGCCTTCAAGTCAAAACCCACATGGACAAAGAAACAGAAAAAGTTACAAATTTTCTGGAAATAATTCAAAAGGAGAAGCAAGATCATAAGAAGATTGCATACCAGTGCCTGCTTTCTCTTTAAGCTGTCTGCATTAGAATGACTCAGGTTCAACATCTTCGTTTCCTTTTGTTCCTGTTCCTCTTGAAGAAACCTTCAATGAATGAGATGAATGGGAGTAACAGTAAGCCTAGTAAGAGACAATGGTGGGGAGGCATTGTTTGTGTGTTCCTGACTTTCCCGTAGTGTAGGTCAGTTGATTTGTGTTCGACTTCAAGGAAAACAGGTTATTTTGTTAAACTTGATGGTAGGTATTGATTCCTCTGAGTTGTGTTCAAGATGTCAGACTTCTGTTGCGGATGACCAATCAAAAATCCTTTTGATCCCTCTTCCTTCCCCTCATGAGCCTATCTGATGATAATCAGCTGCTGACACTCATCGAATCATCATCCGACCTTCCCCACCGCAACACCAGATCTCAAACCGCACTGCAGCCTCCTAACTCATTCATAACTTTATGTAGAGGACAAGTTGTGTGTTTAATGGTTACAGAGTGGATTGACTGGAACTTTGTACTGTGCGGTCACTAGGACAGCTGGTCTCATCAAAAAAAAGCAGCAGCTTTTCTTATCTTCCAACAGGACCCAGGAAACCCCCTATAGAGGTGGGTAACCAAAACGTCAAAATGTATACAACCACTTTGACTGAACATCATTTGTGGTATCTGGGTAGTTGCCACATCAGGACATGTACATACTGAAGGTGCATCCTGCCCATAAACTTTTTAGTGGTAAATCTTCACCAGTGAGCCTTGAGAAGCAAAAAACTAAAAAAAAAACAAACAATCGAAAAACACTTCCTAAATATTTTTATAGTTTTTTGGTTATTAAAACTCACTGGTTGAGGTTAGCCACTAAAGGAGTACATGTACATGATGCACATTGAGTATGTACATGTCCTGATGTGGCAACTACCCAGATACCACAAATGATGTTCAGTCAAAGTGGTTGTATACATTTTGACGTTTTGGTTACCCACCTCTATAGGGGGTTTCCTGGGTCCTCTTCCAACGCGTGTCTTGTAGCTTTCAAGCAGTCCAACTTCCTTGGGTTGAATATGTTCCATGTGCATTCATGGGCCAGAGGGAGACGTCTCCGCTTGATGATTTCCCAGAGTTTGGCAACAGCATTCACGCCTATCAATGCTGTGAGTCAGTGCAACAACTGATGAAATGTTGTTGGCAGAAATCAGCTGCCAGGCTCAGCAGTCATTCTCTATCCCTCATTCTTTATAATCTTGTCATGTCCTCTAAGCAAATCTTTTGCACTGGAAAAATGTACCCATGCAAACAAACTTTGGCCTCTCATTCAATGACGTCAGGGTTCAGAATCCTGGATCTTATGGTTCCAGACATCTAGCCTTGGTTTTTCAAACAAGCGTGGACATTGATTTTTGCCCCAATCACTTGATATGTAAGCACTGGAAAGAATTTACTGGAAATAAAAATAAAGAGAATGAATGACATGATCATTGGAATTCAAAACAGCTCCGCTTATTTTTGATTATTGGGTAAGCTGAATTTGATTTGTCATAACAACACTAATTATTCATACAAGTTTTGAACAGAGATGTGATTATATTTTGACCGGGTAACTCATTCTGCCTTTGAATACTGCACAGGAAAATGAATTCCACTTCAAGTGATTGGAAGAATTATATTTTATTGATGGATAGTTGGGACTGAGCAGATTACAAAAAAACAAAGACTACATCAGATACAAATGGAAAGAAAGAGACAAAAATGAGAAGACAAAGAGAAAGTGACGGAGAGAAAACAAAGAGAAATTGGCTTCGACAGATCAAATAGACACTGATGATGAGTTGAGTTTGTTGGTTTGGTTTGGTTTGGTGAGGTGAGGTGATTTTGATGATTTGGAAATTGGTAGAGATATCGGGAAGAGATGTAGATTTGTTCGATGCAGCAGAGGACGTATTTGTGAGACAGAATAAAGAGAAATAGATTATGTGAGAGGAAACTGATAATTCAAGGGAAAACTGATAATGCGAGAGAAAACTGATGATGTGAGACAGAACTGGAAATGCAAGAGACCACTGATAATGCGAGAGAAAACTGATAATGCAAGAGAAAACTGATAATTGAAGAAGATGAACTCGTAATCCAAGAAACTAGACTAATAATTCCAGTTTTTGATAATTGACTCGGGACGGATTGCTTGATTGTTTGATTTGGAAAGAATGAACTACGACTGGTTATGTCCATTGATGATTAAACAGAAATGAAATATTAGATGCCCATTGGGACGATGCCTTTTAAGCTTCTTGTGAGGGAATGTGACTTCCTCCAGTGGTTTTGGTCGAATCTTGTCTTGTCTTCAGTATTTGACGAATGTACTGTCAGCCTTCGGAGAGGTGTTTAAAGGCTGAAAGAGGCTTTGATTTTGTTGTTATATCCGGTGGAAGCTCCACTTGGATGGTGCCTTGAGAGCTTTTGTGAACCGTCCATTTCTGTGAGTTGGCGGGATTGTTGTGCATGATGAGAAAGTCGGGCTTTCATTTTTCATCCTTTTTAACTGAACCGCCACAAGCTCCTGATGGATCTGATCAAGGAAGAAGAAGAAGAGAGGATGGAGCTGTTTGAGGATGAGGATTCCGAGTACAACGAGGCCGGCTTTCTTGGGGCGTTCAGGTAAAGGATCAGTTCGACTTCGGCTTCCAGGTGAGAATCGCGCTGGATGATTGGGTAGGCTTCAGCGGAACAATCGATCAGGGGCTCAAGTGCTTTTTGCGAGAGTGCTTGTGTGACTGGAGCGGGTGCCTCTTCGTCTTCACTGATGAAGTGACTCTCGTAGGAAGGGAAGGAAAAGTAGGTCGATTGGGCGGAGTTGGTCATCATCTTCAGAAAAAATACTGTTAGTCAAAGTCAACCTGGTTGTTGTGAGAGAGATCTCCAAGGCCGCTGGATGTATGTGGCGCTGTGGTGTTTATTGAGGAAGGATCAAGTTTGAAAACCGAGGGAGGAAGCTTTGAGTTTTGTAGGAGCTTTGGAAGATTGTTTGATAAGGATGATGGAGGCGAAATTGAAACTGAATCTTTTGTAGGGTGTTTTGGAGCTCGACGGCTGAGTTGTGAAAGTGTCTGGATGATTGGATGAAGGATGATTAGTTACAAAGGTGTTCAGGATGCCTCCTTATATAGTGATTGTCCACCAGATCGTCAATACCTTTTCCACCCAGGAATTGTCAAAATACCCGCCACTCAGTCCAGCTTGGCCATTAGTTTGAACTGGACATCAACGCCATCTCAAAATGGCTGAAGGTAGAGAGTGATTTCAACTCGGACTGGGCGTAGCAGCGCTATAGTGGGTGTTTCTATACCCCAATAGGTCGGAGATTTCTTTCTGGACCGACTTAATACTGCGAGCCTAGTGGGTCCGGCCCCTATGAGATGAGGGAATCGGAGTCAAAGGGACATCTGTCGAGTTGTAATTGGTCGACGGGAAGGAGATGGCTGATGTTGCTTATAATCTGGCACACGAAGGCTTCAAGGCACAGACCCGGCCGCAAGTCCAACACAGTCACGTACCCATCCAGCGGCCTTTCAGATTTCGCAACCTTCGATTGACCACATTTTTTTCCGAAGATGATGACCAACTCCGCACAATCAACTTACTTTTCCTTCCTGTCCTACTTCCGGGCAGAGAGGATTAATCCGTGTAGCGGTGGATGTTGTGGGCCCAGACAATGACACGCATAGCGCCGCTAGCTGACCCTCCGGAGTGTGAGTGCAATGGATTTATATCTTGTCCGGTGTGCGACCCAGAACGGCAGGCTGCACAAGGACGCGACGACTGTTAAGCCGCCATGCTTAACTACAGCGCGGGGCTGGCGAATATGGCCCTTTCCGCTGTCTTTGTAACGCGACCTTTGGCCGTGCTTGGACAGGGGGATGGCCCGACAAGTCGAAAGACGAGTTGTGGTGAACGAATGTCCAGCTCGAGCTTGGGGGGAAAGGACGGATCACGCAACTAAAGCGCAGAAGGATCCGATGACGAGAGCGACCATGGAGGGCAGAGCGGCGGCGCGGACGGAGGAAGACTTGGCGTTGGTGTTAGCAGAGCCGTTGGTCTTGAATCTGTTGCCGTTGATGTCGGCGTTCATGCTGGAGTTCTTGGAGGACGCGTTGGCGTTGGAACTGGAGTTGTTCGAGGTGTTGGCTGGTGGCGACGATTCAAGGTTGCCGCCGGGGGACGTGCCGTCTTCCCGGCGAGGGGATAGTCCCCAGGAAAGCGCCCGTTGGGCCGTTTGGCAGCGCCAGCCGAACAATGCTCCTTCACTCCGCATAGAGGCACGGGTGGCTTCCGCTGCTCTGACCTACAATCGAAGTCCACTTTCGAGAGTGGCCTGCCGCCGCAGAGGCGTGCAAGACGTAAAGGCGAGGCCATGATGACGATGGCGGATTAGACCCTGCGCTCTTTCATCAGAGGGATCGCTCGATGATCCCCCTAACCCCTTATGCTGATTTCAATCATCGTAGGCTGTAGCAAACAAAGGATCACAAGCGCTTCCAGTCTACTCCCGGGGCGATGGTCGTAAGTCCACTGTTGCGCTTCACAGCCCCCCTTTTCAAATGTGTATCTCATGGGAATGAATTAGCTAGCAGCCTTGTCGACTTGTTGATTTCTTTCTCTCTTTCAAAAAAAAAAAAAAAAAAGAATATCTAGTAATCGGATTACTTCGACGCATGAATTCTTGCAGCGGAAGGCTCAGGCAGTGAGTCAGGATTCAAATCACCACCAGACGCCAAGCCGCTCGCTTCTTCTTTTTGAAAACATTGTGTGAAGATGGAGAATGCTGACTAGTACGACAAGGGTGATGCACAATCCACGATATGAGCTTTAGAGGAGTCTGCGTAAATACTTGCGGAGACATTCCTAAACTTCAAGCCCCTCAAAACTCAAATTAACTCGAGTTTCATCAACTTGATCAGAGCAAAACTGTATCTATACTATCATAGAGCGCAAATTTGCAGTTTTTAAAGCTCCAGAAAGACAAGAGACACATCCCCCTGCTGGAGATCCCCAGTTACCAATCTATCAACCTGCCCATTGCCAGCTCGAGTCTCCTCCTCGAAAATAAAAGCTTCAACGGAGTGATATTCTGGATGGTCTGATTGATAACTCCTGCTCTCTACGTTGTAGTGTCTCGACTATCTTCAGGGGGGAAGTTCTGGTATTAGAGATGCTCGGACTCTCACTCTGCTTGACTTCTCTCTTGGATCCTTCATGATTCTTTTTTATGATGATGATGATGGTGATTGTCTCCGACTACATACGACTCCGCCTGATGAAAGGAGATCGACGTCGCAAGGGGGGCACAGCCAGCCCACTGCGCACTGCGGCATTAATCCTACGTATCCTTCGACAGTATAAAACAGCACAGCAAACAAAACCCCTTCAGCTCTTCACAAACAAAGCTTTCTTCACGAAAAACCACCAACCAACGAAGCATCTTCAAGAAAAAAAGAAAAAAAAAAAAAACAAGCCATGCTCGAGCCATTCGCATCAGAGTTCACACCCTATCTCGAATATCTCAACAAGACTTCGAACCTGATCATCAAGCTCATCAAGCTCATCCCTGGCTCAGACATCTTGATCCGATACGTCAAATCATCCCACCAGAATGACCCCTTCCGCACCTTCCTCGAACTCTCCCTGGTCTTCTTCATCATTCGAACCTGGAGACAGTCTCGGACCAGAGGCGATGTCGGCAGCGGGAAAAGTTTCGTCAAACTCACTGAGAAGGTAACCCTCCTCACTCATGATGTCCGGTTTTTATTCAATTTATTGACTCACACAAATCACGTTTCTTATCTTTTGTCTGAAATTGGTTCTGATGATTAATGACACTTGAAGGAAATTGACGAATTGATAGCCGAATGGAAGCCAGAGCCACTAGTAGAGACGGCCGTCCAAACCACCCAACTGAAATCCCAGCCGCCGATCATCGTCGGGATCCCGGGCGTACGAGCCAAGATCTTGCATGGGCAGGCCGCCAAGAAGTTCATCGAGAGTCCCTCGCACGACTCCCCGATCGATCCGAAGGACCTCAAAGAAGTCACCAATCTGGCAAGCATCAACTTTGCTGGCTTGATCGGTAATGAGGATGTCAAACATCGGGCAATCGAACAGCTCCGTAGAAGTGGCGTCGGGAGTTGCGGGCCTCCTGGTTTCTATGGCACCTTTGGTATGATCCCCTTGTTTCTATCTCACTTGAAAAATTGTTTTCATCGGATCCGAATTAAGAAACTCATACTGTTTGGTGGTGGTAATACATCGGTTTTTTTACAGATGTCCACATGGAATTAGAGCGAGACATTGCGGATTTCTTAGGGCTCCAAAACTCGATAATCTATGCGCAAGGCTTCTCGACGACCTCGTCAGTGATCCCATCATTCAGTAAGCGAGGGGACATCATCGTCGTCGATCGGGGTGTGAACTTCTCGATCCAAAAGGGCATCCAAATCTCTCGCTCGACGATCAGATGGTACGATCATAACGATATCGGAAGCCTCGAAAAAGTCCTCGAACAACTCAAGTTCGAGGAAATCAAATACAGACGAAAGTTGACTAGAAAGTTCATCATCACCGAGGCTCTCTTCGAATCCGATGGTCAGATTTGTGATCTTCCTGCAATCGTCTGTTTTCTCCCCTTCTTTCCTCTCATTTACTTTTCTTTTTTTTTTTTTGCATCTCACTTAATAGGTTTTCATTTCTTTTTGTTGGTTTTCAGATCAAGTTGAAGGAAAAATTCAAATTTAGGTTGATACTCGATGAAACTTGGTCGATAGGCAGTTTGGGAAAAACGGGACGTGGGCTAACCGAATACTTTGGCGTACCGGTGAGTGATTACGAATAGCAATATGTACACATCAATCTTGGAATGAGTGTTAGATGTGTAGCTCACAGAGTTCATGTTATTGGACAGCCAAAATCGGTTGACATTTTAGTCGGCTCATTAGCGACGAGTTTCAACTCAGGGGGAGGATTCTGTGCGGGTTCGAACGAGGTAGTTTCTCACCAACGGATCAACTCAGCCGCACTGGTCTTTTCGGCTGCTCTGCCGCCGCTCCTAGCCACCGCTGCATCAGAGTCGATCAAGATCCTCAGCGAGGGTGATGGAGTGGCTCGGTTTGAGAGGCTGCGAAAGAACACGAGGTTGTTGAGGGAGGTCCTCAAGCCGATCACCGGCCATCCGATGAGCGAGGAAGGGCTGATCGAAATCCCTTCCCACGAAGCGTCGCCCCTGATCCACATCACTCTCAAATCGTCCCCGCAACAACAGCCGCCATTATCAGCAACATCAACCAAGGCCACACCGAATAACGAACTGAGTCCGCATTGGAGTCCCAGACAATTGGCTAACCAAGCCCTACCTTCCTTTGGTACGAAGATGAACATGAGACCATACGAGGAACAGGAAGAGCTTCTGCAGAAGATCGTCGACCTTGCGATCGAGGAGAAGAACGTGCTGATCACTCGGACTAAGAAGGTCTGGGAACAAGAGATCGACCCGATGTCTCCGTCCCTTCGGATCTGTGTCTCTGAAGCTCTTCATACCGACGAGCTTATTCGGGCCGCTAATAGTCTCGTCGAGGTCTTCAAAAAAGTTTTGGTCGAGTGATCCTCCCCATTTCTTTTTTTTTCTCCTCGTTCACATCAACCTTTCTGGACATACACACTCCCAGTCTCACTCTGATACGCATGCTCTCTCTCTCTCTCTCTATATTTCTCGATCCCTTCTGATCTCTCTCCCTTTCTCTCTCATACATCTTCGTTGCTCGACAGAACTTTACATCGTTGCTTCTCGTGTTTCTTTGTACATCTTATCATGCTATGGAAGATGGATTCACCAATTATTATCATCTCCCTTTTCAATTCTAATCCATATGGGACAGTCGCATATATGTATACATATACATAAGGAGAGATCTCGGATCGATGATCACTCCCAGGTCGATCAAGAACATGACCGCGAGGTTATCACATCTTCTTGTTTTACGCTCTATGCTGTATGCTCTCTCTTTTTTTTTTACAACCAAGTCGAGCTAATTTTCTTTCGATCACTTTGGGTATTTATTTTGTGTAACAAGGTTGTATATACAATTATTTAATAGAGCGGGATCGCGTCAAGATCAAGGTGAACATATTCATCCAAGTAATCAATGGACATGTGATGATACTGGCCCCTGTTAAAGGTACACCAGAGGTTTTACATACACCTCTTAATTAGCTGGGAGTAGTTGGAAATGACTGTGATTGCAAAACTTGATCCGTTTGTGTTCAATTCCTCGAACAGCCACTGAATTACTGGGCCGGTGATCGCCGGGCAGTCAATGTTTGCGGTGCTCGGTGTGTGTGCAAAATGGGATGATGTGATGAAAGCCAGGTGGACCGCCAGACACGTGGTTTCCTTTTTAAATGCATCAAGTTCCCCCCAAGCGGTGCCGGTCACACTATGCGAGGAGGCTGCGAGTTGAAGACGGGCATTTTGCAAAGCAAAAAAAGTGCAGAAGAATGCAGCTTCCTTGCGTGAGACGATGGCCGGAGGATTTGTGGGTTTATCTATGTAAATAACATCGTCTGGATGACTCTCAACCAAACCATTGGTAATCTCATTGATTGCCTTCAGTGGGTCAATTGGCATGATTGGGATTCGGTGGTGATGGGGCGCCGCCGCTTTCTCAGATCGGGGCGACGGTCTCAATCCTCCTGGGGCGTTCTCCCTTCTCACCCAGGGCGCTTCTCAAACAGCCGCCACCAGAATCAGCGTCCTGCCGATGGTTACTTCTGGTTACTTGGACAACACACACACACACACGATGGGCGCAAACCTGACTCGGACAGCGCCTGCGTTTTCGTGCTGCCGAAGACCACAGATGGGTGGGCTATGTACCCTTGAAGGAGTTTTCTCATTCCTGGAATTCTGCCTTCTAATGACACCCGTTGTGCCCCCTTGGTAACGATTAGACCTTAGTCCTCCCCTCATCTTTTCTTTCTAATTTCCCTGCCACCATCTCCCCATAAAAACTTCCTTTGCCACACCGCCCGCCGCTGCACTCCAGTCCATCCCGCCCTCAAGTTCAACCCATTTCTTTATCAATTCGCGCACGCCAATCGTTATTCAAACACATCCACGAACCTATTATTTGCATCCTCAAGAGAAGCTGTCAACTTGCCACTAATTTGGCAGACCCAACCATAAGCATCGCCATACTAATAGTCATAAATAAATCAAGCACATCACATAAGCAGCAGCAATAAACCTTCGACAACATCTCTAGCAATGAAGCTCGCACCCAGAACATGCCTGTTGGGCACCGTGTGTCTTATTGCGGGGGTCAGGACAGCTGATTCTGGTGGAACTGACCACAAGGTTACTGTAGGAAAAGGTGGATCAAGCTTTGAACCGTCCCACGTCTCCGCCAAGAAGGGAGACACTATTACCTTCACCTTTTTCCAGGAGTAAGTGCCTGATTGAATTGGTCCAACTATGATTTCTCAAGACACACAGAGCCTACTTACTCATCATACCCCATCCCATTTCTGTTACATCAGTGGACACACTTTGACCCAGACTCATTTCAACAACCCTTGTGCCGGTTTGAATCCGCCGTCTGATTCGTTTTGTACTGTCACTTCTGCCACTAAAACCGAATCACCATCACCCACCGGCGAGTCAAATTATCCCACTGGCGGGTCAGATTATCCCACTGGCGGCGCGCAACCTCCCAAAGACTCTCAGCCACCCTCTGGAGGATCACAGACTCCGCCCCAAACGCCGCCTACTACTGGCGACCAACAGCCTCCCGACGGGGGTGTGCAAACTCCTTCAAGCGGCACAGATTACCCCACATTCGGTGATCCTTCGAAGAATCCTAGTCCAAACACTACCACTCCTTCACCACCCACCGATCCAACTCCGCCAACTAAACCAGTAGCCCCGACTCCTGAGCCTCCGACCTCCAAAGACCCCTCCTCAAACCCAGGCAATAGCCCAACACCACCTCCATCAAGCCCTCCAACGTGCCTGTGCCCCGCTCCGCCCACGCAGTCATCCGATTACCCAACTGGGCCAGAGGCAACCAGCCCTAAGGAGAAAACCTGCGACGCGAAATGTATCGAGGTATCCGGAGAATGTCAAACCTCGACCGACTGTGACGCTCAGAGCAAATCGCCAAGCGACTCGAAGTGCAAGATCGAGGACGGAAAGTGCAAAAAGTGCGGCCAAAGTAGCTTGTTCAAAAAGAAACGAAGTTTGGACCACTACAGCCTTGCATACTTGAGGAAGAGATTACTGCGCAGAGATGGCCCACCACCCATCGGCGACGGAGTGCAGAAGGTGGACATTGGCAGCGCGGAATCGCAGCAGGCCGAGAGTACTACTCAGCTGAACACCGCACCCACTTCCCAAGCTGGAACTGGTTCTGTAGGACAAGACACCACTGCTTCCGCCGGCCAAGGTGGAGACGTTTCGGCAAGCCCAGACGGCGCTTCCTCTTCAGGTCAAGACACCACTGCCAGTGCGCCTCCTAATATCGGCGTGGACGCCAATTCCTCTTCTTCAACGCCCGGGCAAGATTCAAAGTCCACTGATCCAAAGTCCTCAGGCACCCTAGGTGCCGACAAAACTGAGGGCAGTGCACCAACGGGATTAGATTCTGGATTCAGTGAGTTTTCCTATCCATGATTTATCAGTCGGCCCAAGATGGTCGTTCATGAATTCGATCTCTTTTCCGCTTTGCAGTCAAAGTCAGCGAAGAGCAGAAAAGTACTGGCAAGAGCTGGAAGATCCAAATCACAGACGACAGCAAGCCTCTGTGGTTCATGTGTGCTACTCTCCATCACTGTACCTCCGGCATGGTCTTTGCTGTCAACCCCTCCGATTCTGGCGACAAGACCTTCGACAAATTCGTCCAGGCTGCCAAAGCTAGCACCTGTCCTACTCAAGTAAGCCGAGCTTTTTTTTTTTTTTTTTTTTTTTTTTTTTGAGATTCAATACCGGCCAACAAAATGATCTAACCTTTCTACCCTTCTTTCCCGTTTTTTTTGCAGTACCCTACCAAGACCAATCTTCAAGGCGATGGCTGTAATGCACCTAAACCACCTTGTAGCAGCACCAAGAAAGAAAGCCCACCCACCGACACTGGTAGTGGTACTCCCCCCGTCAGCTCTGGCGGGAATCCTGAACAACCAAAGTCCCCCGAAAATCCCGAGCAGCCGAACACCAACACTCCCACCGTATCTTCTGGAGAAGGCAAGGACCCCTCACCCACTGATCCACCTCCGCAAAGCCCTCCTCCCCCCACGACGGCTGAGCCACCTCAGGGAAATACCACCACTCCAGAGGGAAAAACTAGCGGCCAAGCCGATCGGGTCGATGGAACCTTGATCTCATTCATTCTTTACATCGCCATCATCTCCATCAGTTTCTTTGTCTCAGGCGGCTCGCTCTAGTCCTCACCCGCTCAGATCCACTCCTCCTACACAATCAAACAATGTATCCGTTTTGCTTTCAATTGAGTCGCTTGATTTCTTTGGTTTACATCCTCATTCCATCACTTCTGGGTCCCATCTCCTTGTTTAATAGTCTGTAGAATTCGCATCTTGTTCGCATCCTTTCAATCCATCCAACCCATCTTTCCGAGTTCGACTTGTTGTTGTCGAACCTTCTCTGCTCCTTCTTCATGTACATAAAGGTCTATCATTCCCCTGGGCCCTAGTATTAGAGACACGTATAGTTGACGAGCAAACTTAACAAGTCTCACCCAACCATCCTCCCACAAAAAACTTCCCTCCACAGTACTACTTAGTAGCGCTTCTTTGCCACCCGAACTTAAGGTTCCCGGTCGATCCACTCTTGAGTGCTCTCTCCATAGCATGTACCTTTTTTTGTTCGGTTTCCCTGCAGTCATCCACGTTGTCCAGTCTCGAAAAGTCATCCCCATCCGGGCTGGATACCTCCACTCAATCCATTAATAGAGGCAATCAAGAGGTGAGAGATTAAAATCGCATGGGAAGCTCTTCATTGTCTGTCCAGCTTCAAATACTGTTCAACAACTGGCAAGTTCGTGTCGCCGGTACAAAGTGATATATCATGGCAAAGGCCATTCATATAACTCTTTAAGATAACTTTTTTTTTTTGTGGTTTTGGGAAAAGGAAAAAAAAAAAAATCACTTCCTGTTATTAGAACTATTGGCATGATCTTTTTGGGGCTGGAAATAACAGTCCAAGTTCCTAGCTGAGTCCAAGTCCCTAGCTGTGATTGCAAGATGTATAGTGAACTTGATCCGTTTGCGTTTGATCCCTTGCACAGCCATTGAATTATTGAGCCGGCGATCGCCGGGCAGTCAATGTTTACACTACAGTGACCGGTATGTGTGTGTGCTTAGCTGCATCAAAATGGGATGATATCAACAAAGCCAGGCGGACCGCTAGACACGCGCTTTCCTCTTCAAATGGCTGGGCAAGGACTAGCATCAAGCTCCCCAAGCTGTGCCAGTGCTGGTCTCACATTAAATGAGTCGAAAGTCAAATGGGCCTTCTGCAAAGCCAAAAAAAAGTGCAGAAGAATCCGTCCTTGCCTGAATCGATTCTATGGGGCGGAGCATTTGTGGGTTTACCTCAATACCATCCTCTGGATGACTCTCAAACAAAGAATTGACAATGACAATCATGGAGTGACAACTACTTCAACTGCAACTAAGCTCTTAATACTTCAAACTAAAACTTGAAATTTGTTGAGAAATCAATAAGATGTGGTGGAAGGATGTAGTTCTATTATGAATCTAGATAATGAGCAATGTTTAAACAAATTGCTTGAAGGAGGCCTTATTAGCATCCGAGACTTTCTTGGCAAATCGAATGAGCACAGCTTTCACGGCAGGTTTACCCTGGCCATGGTTACTTTCCATTTCCTTGCGTAATTCGGAGACTTCTTCGGGTTCGAGTGCGGCAAACAAGAGGTCCAATTCGCTCAATTGGCCTTCGATCACACTGGCATTCACGCTCTCGCCATCGGCGAGGAAGTAGTTCGAGCCGGTGACGATCGATTGGATCGTCTTCTTCTCCTTCTTCAAGTTCTTCTTGGCCGCCTCTTTCGCTTTCTTGGCAGCCTCCTTCGCCGACTTCGATTCCTCGTTCTTCTTTTCTAACTCTTGTTTAGCTTTCAATTCGGCCGCTTCTTTCTCTTTGATCTGTTCGGCAGAGAGCGTCGCAGGTGTGCTGGCGGAGGCATTCGGGCCCTTGCGTTTCGCTTCTCGGGCTAGACGTTCTTCCGTCTTAAATCGCTTCATACGCGGATCGAGTGATAATGCGGTCTCCACAAGATTTCTTCGTCGCGTGTTATCTTCTTTCTTGCGGCGTTCACGCTCCGATCGGTTTTTGTTTTCGATGTGACGCTTTTCCGTTCGTCTGAATTGCGAATCAACCGATCCAGTGTAAATAATACAGTGCTTAGTTAACAAAATATGACTTCTTCCCTAATTATTGAGTCCAGTGAACAGATTCAAACGCACGAGTCTGAGCCTTCATTTGCGTCCTTATCCTTCCATTCAAAGCTCCTCCAACTGTCAAACTTGAGCCAAAAGTCATAAAACTCTTCGACCTCTTCCCGAGTGCTGTTGATGTCACCGATCGAGGGCACAGGCTGTTTGAGACTGAAGCGGGCCTCCCTTTCGAAGACGGGACTGTAGAGCTTGAAGAATGCTTCCGGACTCGCATTCACTTCCTTTTCTGAGGGGATGTCTCCATCGTCAATTTCTTCATCGACCGAGTCAAATTGGCGTCGCTTCACTGGGTCTGACAAGGTCTCATAGGCTGGTAGGGTAATTTTGTTTTATCTTAGTGCTTCTAGGTGGTTCCATCACAACAAAAAAAAGAAGGAATAGTGGAATTTTTGACGTACCTTTAGAAATGCACTTGAAAAAACTGTCATCGTTTGCGTTGCCCGCTTGTCCAGCTTTCTTATCGGGATGATGACGCAAGACTTTCTTTCGATGAGCACGTTTAATTTGATCGGGCGTAGCCTTCCAACGCAACGAAGACAATCCCAAGACGGCATACTGGTCTTGGTTCTAAATTCATAAGGAAAAAAAAAGTTGATACATAGTTCTCACGAGGTCCAGGCCCAGACAGAGGGATGAAGGGTCTTACCTTCCAATCACGCGGATCGAGCTCAAGGATGTATCTACTCTCAGGCTCCTCTCCTACGCCATCATCCACTTCGTCGCCCAGATCGCCAGCCGAATCGTTCTTGGTGGCTTCTAGCTCCTTAGCAATCGCAGCCTCATGTTCGGCCAAGGTCCATTTGTTCAGGACCCGAGTGGCATGGTATTGGAACGCTCGACCAAGCGGCAAGATCGTCTTCGTTTCAGGCGCTGTGTTTTTTTGTGTTTCCATCAATAAAAAAAATGTCAGAGACATTCGGTCATAGCAGATTGTTAGAGACTAATCAAATTAGATACGAGCTTACCAGCTAATTTCCCGATCGATGGTTTGCTGTAACCCACGCTGATTTGGAAATCCAAGGAGATTGGGAGGGTGATAGTTTCGGAAGCCATGGAGATAATAGACAAGTTGTTTGTGTGCTTAGAAAGTCGTTGTATTTGGGAGTTTTGCAGGCGGAAAGGCGACCACTGAATATATGATAGATTGAGCTGGGCCAAGTTGCAACGTCGACCGACTGCTGCAAGAAAATTTTTATCGAAATATGTGCTCGTGTCCGGTCCGAGCTATTGATTGTGTCCGGGGGCTACGAGTAGGCCTGGAGAGGGGCCCACAAATAGCTGTGAAACCTGTGTGAACTGGGCCGTTTGATTAGCTTTCACAAGGACAAATGACCGCCGTCTGGGGTCCTAATAGAAAAGCCTTTGTAAAAAGAGCCTTGTTCATGTTGAGAAGGCTGTTGTGATGGCTCTTTTGAATGGATGCGGAGCACACCTGGGCTCTTTTTGTACTCGTTGTTGGCCCAAGGACGCCAAATTGCACCCCTGCCGTGGTGTAAATTTCAGAAAGTTTAACTTGTCGAACTTGGTGCAGACATATTTTGCAAAAACCATACTCAAACTGCATTTTTGCAGTGTGCCTACTCATGTTTTAGTGCAAGTTTGTGAATGGATTTGCAAGCTTAACCCAAATATCTCTTGCATATTTTTGCTCGAAAAATCCAGCTCAAGCCTCAAGGAGATGTCACCTTTTGGGGATTGGCTGTACTAGGACTCTGACATCCTCAATGATATTTTGAGCATCTTCACCAGGGGATTCTTTGGAATTCTTCAACCTAGGTAGCTCAGTCAAGTGTACTGAGAATTATTGCATAGATAAAGACCTAATCAACGTAATCCAAGGATGTTGCCCATGGGCTTCCAGTCCAGAGAGAAAATATAATGCTACGTCAATGTTAACCAGGTCAGGAATGGATATACAAGTGTCAAGAGGTCTGCGGACCCGGTGCCCAAGAATTTGGTTACTAAAGGCAAATCTGATCCAGCAACTTGATTGGTGAGCTCAGAACTGATACATTCCAAGGACAGGCAAGCCTATACTAATTGGCTTATAGTTGGCTGGGATAGTGAGAAAACATAAGTCAATTGATAATTCCAACGACATACTGGAACAGGCCTTGACATCACCTGATTGTGCCCCAAGGTATTTGGGATGAGAGATTTTGGCTACTGTTCTGATAACATTCCATCATGTTCACCTGATGCTACCCGTGATGTAACTCTGTGGGTTGAGAAAAATTGATTGCCCAAACTTAATTACGAACACTTAAAATTTACCTTTATGCAGCACCTCCCAATGCATGTCTCCTCTGACAAGGTCTCCAACTGCGCCAGTCCTGTCGCCTAAAGGTTAGGACAAGCTGGGGTGTAAAGAACACGGCGACTTTGACGGGACACGGAAACTTTTGAACTTTTAAATTTGAAACTTTGAACTTTTTTTTTTTTTTTTTTTTAATTTTAATTTTGTAACGTACTGACGATACTAAGTGTTTGCAATGATAGAGAAAAATAACAAAATAAGTCTCTTGAGAAAAAAAGAGATACAAAGTGAAACATTATCGGTCTTTTATAGGTGTAATCTTGCGTTTCGCTATTTTCTAAACATATCTTGATCATAGTAACTAAAGAGTAGAAATCGTTATGGTTCCTATTTTATAGCGCATCCTTTGATCCGTTCGTATGAGATAATGAAGGAATATTCTGAAATGAATGAAAAGAAGTAGAATTTCTTCGATTTTCGTTGGTGATAGAATTTCTGAAAATGTTTTGTTTTTTTCACCGAGTTTCTTGGCCTGAGCTTGACAAAATGACTAGCCATGTACCCTAGCAAAGCACCCGAACGGACTTGTCAGCAGTCAAAATTATAGGATTCGTGCCGAATTCATCGTGAAACTTTTCCAAATAAGGGTGAATAGACTCAGCGAAATGTCCTCCTTTTATCCAAGAATTGTCCGCGGCAGAGCCACCCCGCCAGGTGACCAAATACTCGTGCTTCCGGGGTCCCATGCGACGATAGCCAATGATGGACTCAATATCCTGTTCATCAATATCCCGCTGGTAAGTCGAATTATGCCCTAGAGGTGCCGTCGGAACTTTCCTTCCTGGGTAGGACCTGGGATCCACAAAGGGGACAAGGAGAGACGAGTGAAAAACCGGGTGAATACGCTTCATATCAGGAGGAAGTGAGAGAAGAAAAGCCTGAGTGCCGATTTCTTTAACGATCTGAAAGGGACCCAATCGTTTGAAGTCCAACTTCTCCGATGGACGTTTTGAGGTGATGTTGGTGCGAAGGAGCCAAACCCAGTCGCCAGCCCCAAATGGAGGGGAGTCTCTTGCCCGTCGATCGAAATGCTCTTTCTGAACCTCTTTCGAGCGCTTTAAGAACTGTTTCAATGACTCCTGAATATCCGACAACTTCTCCACCAAAGAATCTGCTGCCGGAACAAGGGAACCTGCTGAGAGAGAGTTCAAACGGGGGTGGAAAGCAAACTGCGCGAAAAACGGGGAAAACCCTGTGGAAGCAGACTCGGAGGTGTTAAAGACCAATTCAGCCATGGGAAGCAAAGACGCCCAGTCATCCTGCCGATCCGAAACAAAATGCCTAATAAAAGTCTCAATAGTCTGGTTAGCCCTTTCAGTCTGTCCATCAGTTCGAGGGTGCCATGCTGTGGACGGCGCAGGCTTAATCCGCAGAAGGCGCTGAACCTCCGTCCAAAACCTAGATACAAATACCGAACCCCGATCTGACACAATTTTGTCCGGCAGACCATGGTAGCGGATGAACCGATCCAAAAAAACGTTAGCAAAATCCTCGGCTGCCCACGTCTCACAAGCCGGCAATAAATGGGCAGCCTTCGTGAAATGATCCACTATAACTAAGATGGAGTCAAACCCGGACGAGCATGGCAATTTGACTATGAAGTCGATGCCGATGACGCTCCAGGGCCTTTCGGGTATAGCCAGGGAGACCATGAGACCTGGAGGGCGCTGGTTGGAATGCTTCGAACGCTGGCAAGAGAGACAGGATTTAGTATAGTTGATAACATCCTTACGTATTCCCGGCCAGGTCAGAGTCCAAGTGATATTTTGCAGCGTTTTCAAAGATCCCACGTGTCCCGCTGAAATGTCGTCATGGAAATTTTGCAGAACAAGCGGTCGAAGCGCCAAGGGAACGAAGATTCGATCCTTCAGCCACCAGTAACCCTGTTCGAACCGAAGAGGGGATTCATCATCTTCATCAGCTTCCGGTGGGTCTTTCTTGTAAGCATCCTGAAGAAGATCTCGGAGACGCTGCGAGGGTTGACAAAAGGAATGGTCAGCCAATAGATCCGACGCTGTATCCGAATTCTCTTGAGTAATGTCAGAAATATCAACCGCCTCCTCCTCAACTGCCAACTCCTTTAAAGTAACCTTTCCCTGATCCTGCTGCAGAAGCGTCCTTGACCGTTCTTCAAGTCCATCATCAACTACGAAATCTGGTCGGCGAGTGGGTGGGTCAGCCGGGTTATTTCTTCCTGAAACATGTTTGATGACGAAATTGAAAGAGGACAGAAATGACGCCCATCTGGATTGCCTGTCCGAAAGCTTTTGATTCGCCATGAAGTAACGGAGGTTAGCATGGTCAGACATTACCGTAACCGGCTCGTTAGTGTCAATCAACCATGCCCGCCATTCCGTGAAGGCCGAAACGATCGCGTAGAGTTCTTGATCGTGAACTTGCCACAAGGCTTCCCGAGGCGATAGCTTTCGCGACAGAAAGGAAACAGGATGAAGATCCCCCTTCTCATCCGGTTGACACAAAACACCCGCTATCGCATATTTGGAACTGTCTACAAACAAAATCCGAACCTTTGCGAAGTCAAAATGGCTTAACAACGGAGACTTAGTGAAACAGGATTTCAAGAGAGAAAAAGAGCGGAGACAGTTTTCCCCCTGCAGCCCCTGACCGATGTCAACACCCTTCTTTGTAAGGCTAGTGAGGGGGGCCGTGATCTCGGAAAACCTGTGAATGAACTTCCGATAAAAGTTAGCAAAACCCAGGAATTTCTGCAGATGACAAACCGTTTCCGGGTAAGGCCACTCCACAATTGTATCGAGCTTCCCAGGATCCATCCGTATTCCTTGAGGGGAGATGTCAAAACCTAAGAAAGAAACCTTGTCAACAAAAAATGAACATTTTTCAGGAGAGGCGAAAAGCTTATTGTTTTGTAACCGAGACAATACTTGAGACACATGTTCGATGTGTTCTTCCCTGGTCTTAGAAAAAACAAGGATATCGTCAATGTACACAAAACAAGAAATATGAAGCATTTCTCGGAGCACATGCTGTATAAATCTCTGAAAACAAGCGGGTGCGTTAGCTAAACCAAAAGGCATCACCAAATACTCAAATAATCCCCAAGGAGTGCGAAAGGCTGTTTTCCACTCATGCCCCTCAGCTACTCTCAAAAGATTAAAGGCCGCCTTGAGGTCAATCTTCGTAAAAAACTTACATCCCTGCAACTGATTTAACAGCTGACCCAAAATGGGAATGGGATAACTATCTCTTACCGTCATAGAGTTTAATCCTCTGTAATCTACACATGGGCGCGGCTTCTTACCTGGGACTCTCACAAAAAAGATGGGGGCAGCTGCGCTTGAAGAAGAAACTCTAATGAATCCTTTTTTCAATTGCTCATCAATATATTCTTTTAGTTGGGCAAGCTCTACTACAGATAAATTGTACAGTCCCCCAAAGGGCGGGACGGCTCCTTCGCGCAGGTTGATGGAGATGTCCATATCCCGATGCGGTGGTAGGGTACAATTATCCTGGGGACGGAAGACATCAGCATACTGCATAAATTCTGGCGGAAGGGAGAAGGAAGGTGGAGAGAGGGATGAGGATAGAACGCTGCAAAAGGGAGCCACTTTACCTTCAAATCCCTCGCCCAGATCCGAAGAGTCGACCACAAAGACCTGAGTCTCGCCTAAGCAGAGCTGATGTCCCTGATGAACGCTTCCCGACGCGGACCAGGATTGAGAGTCCAACCACGGAAGACCGAAGATTGCGTCCACCGATCCCAATCTGGTCACCCCGAATGAACAAGGAAGATGGACAGGTCTCGAGTCGGTTGAAGAAACCGTGATCTCTCCAGACCAATCCTTCGTGACCATACCTCCTACCCCACCACTTCCATCGAACCCGACGCATCGAATTGGAGTCTGGCGATTGTGAACTGGCAGTCGGTGTTCACTGACAAAGCGATCGCTGATAAAATTTGCCATCGACCCTGTATCGATAAGGACCGACGCAATCACCGCTTGATCGACTGCTGTCTTGAATGATACCGGAATCAACATTCGCCCCGCCTTGGAGCAGTCCAACCGAACCTGAATCGTTGACACCCCCACTTCTTCGATCTCTTCTTGTTCTTCCTTGAGGCCGAAGTTCGAGAAATCGAGGTCAGTTGAGTCTTGAGGAATCTCCAACTGAGTCGGAGGGTTTGAAGGCGAAGGCGACCGTTGCTGGATGGTCGGAACTGCTTGGTAAGGTGAAGGAACTGCGAATAGGGATCGTCGGCGAGTGATGCTCTCTCCCGGAGGCCTTGGACCAAATGAGACCTCCGAGACTTGAACTGGAACTGCCCCTCGATATTGCTCCACGAATTTTTTCCGAGCCTCCGGCGTCACTCTGCCATTTGGGCAATTCAGCGAATTGGTGTGATCGGGTGGGACTGTCTTCTGGAGGCACCTAAAACACACTCTCTGCGCCAGACAAACCGTTCGAAACAGTCGTTCGAAGCGTTGTTCTGGCGTTAGAGGGCCTCTGGACGAAATCGCATCAATGTCCATGGCATCCGGTGATTTCGAAGATGAATTCGGATGTTGATAGACTGGTGGTTGCACAACCGGAGATGGTCGAGAAAATCCTGGAGGCTGTGGAGCTTGCTGAGATGTCGGAGCATGAGATGAGGACTGCCTGTTTGGGATTCTGGAAAGGGCTGCCAGTTGCCTTGAAGCATCCAAAGCGCGCCTCATCTTCCCCGCCAGAGTCGGTTCCTCTAACCATTCAGCGGACATAGCTCTGTTGATGATGTCGTAGTTGAGACCTTCGACATATTTGTCGATCCTGGCGTCCTCCGAATTTACCACCTGATAACATAACGTGGAGTATTGGGCGTTATATTCCTCAACCGATTGTCGACCCTGCTTGCATGCCGCCAACGCTCTTTTAGCCGAATCGAGCTGAAACTTGTCCCCAAAAGAGTCAATTAGACCTTTTTCAAACTCCGTGACCGAGAGCAACATGGGATGTCGGAAAGGTACTCGATCCAAATCCGCGTATGGGTTGTTTTCGCCTTGAGCTCGAGCGTTTGATAAAATCAGAGAATTGTACCAATTTTCCGCCGCACAAGGTTCGCCGGGGTTGTTTCTTGATGCCGACGGGTGATAACCGAAGTGTCGAGATATCCAGACTATCATTCTTGACTGAGAGGAGAAGAAAGAGTGTCTAGGATATAAAAAATCCCGAATCGCCCGAAGAAAGGACGCCAATTGCTTTGTTTCCCCCGAGAACCACAACTCCGGGAGCTTTTGTGGTTCCAAATAGACCGGATTCAACCCCTGCCCTTCCACTCTCGGGTGTTCATGAGACGGGAAAGGTAGGGGGGCCTGCGGAAAACCTTGTTGAACTCCTGGCACTGCGGGAACCGTGTCACTCTGAGTTGGGTGAGATGGGTTTACCGGCGGGGCTTGGGGCGCATTCTGAGACCGAAAAAATGCAAAGTGATTGGGATCAATCGCAACCGAAGGAGGAGCCGAGGAAACTGGATCAAAGTTAAGAGGTGGCTGCGGAGGGTCGGATTTCTCCGTTGCCTTGACAATACCAATGAGTGTTTCCAAACTTGTCGCCATTCTCTCCATTCGGGAGTCCATCCGATTCAAACGCTCCTCAGTTTCTTCGGGCTTCATGCTCGTATTTGGTTGCTTTTGATGATCGTTTTCTTGATGACCGGCAGTGGATGGTTCCTGATTTTGGTTCATTTCTGATGACTTGTAAGATGAGGCTAAGAGTTGGTTTGCTTTGCGAATTCTGCCGTGAAATTTGAGTGCTTGTGCGACTGTTTGATTGGCTGGTCTATGCGATGGTCGCTGTAGGAATACGGACGTGCGAGATAAAGGAGACGGAATTCGAGTTCTTGAGAAATTTAGGGATGAAAGATGAGGAGGTATTTGTCGAGGAGATGTAAAAGATGGAGAGTGGTGAGATTGACGTGTGACGGGGAAAGGAGAATGGTGTGATTGATTTGTGACTGAGGAACTAGGGGAATACCACTGGGTGTGTGAAGAGTTTGAAGTGGAGGAAACTGAAACGTCAGAATCCTCCTCGTGTGACTTTGGTAAGGTGTATGACGGAATGTTGAATGTTTTATGTGAGAGACTTATAATGTAAAGAACACGGCGACTTTGACGGGACACGGAAACTTTTGAACTTTTAAATTTGAAACTTTGAACTTTTTTTTTTTTTTTTTTTAATTTTAATTTTGTAACGTACTGACGATACTAAGTGTTTGCAAAGATAGAGAAAAATAACAAAATAAGTCTCTTGAGAAAAAAAGAGATACAAAGTGAAACATTATCGGTCTTTTATAGGTGTAATCTTGCGTTTCGCTATTTTCTAAACATATCTTGATCATAGTAACTAAAGAGTAGAAATCGTTATGGTTCCTATTTTATAGCGCATCCTTTGATCCGTTCGTATGAGATAATGAAGGAATATTCTGAAATGAATGAAAAGAAGTAGAATTTCTTCGATTTTCGTTGGTGATAGAATTTCTGAAAATGTTTTGTTTTTTTTCACCGAGTTTCTTGGCCTGAGCTTGACATGGGGCCTCACATGTTGACCAAGTTAGAATTCAAGCAGATTCAGTCGGCTCTACCCGGCGGATATCTGCAATGACAGACTGCATGATGATTGCTCTATCAATTCCGAGTCAGAAATGACTCTATGCCGCGTTGATCACTCTCGAATTGCGGCTGCAATCGACAAGTCGTATCACTATCGGATAACGTCCCAATTCCCGCGATCAGTTCGGGAATTGCCTCTAGAAGCTCTAATATATCCCCAAGGATGATTGAGAGAAACCAAACAAAGCTTGCGCGATTAATCTCACAAATTTCCATGTGAACGTTTGCACTGCAACACAACACAACTGTTCGGACTTCTAGAAGCATCCCCTTGCGGCAATGAGAAGCTCTGAAGAGGCCGATTGAGGATATAAAAGGCCGATGAAACTGTCTGCTTCCGTCCTCTTATGTCGCAAACCATCGCCCCACACTCAGTCAAAAAGTCTCCTTGAATAGTCTCCAAGCAACCCTCAAAATAAAAGACACCATGTACATCCCATTAGTCTTCCTCTTGGGCTCTTTGATGTTCTTTCAAATCACTACTGTCTCGGCCTTCCCAGTTCAGGCACTCGCATCCAATGGGTTTCATGTCGATTGTGCGAACGACCCAAATCAATGTTGTCCCGCTTGCAAGCCCCACTAGAGAAGGTGTTCGGAAAGAAGTTAAAGTGTGAAAGCAACGGAACAGGTGAGTCCCTTTCTCTTATAACCCGCCACAAATATCATGTCAATTGTGCTCTCGGAGTGCAACACTGACTTGAAAGCTATCTCCTTCAAATCTATAGAATCTGCAATCTTATCGGTCTCAGACGGCAACGGTTTCCCCCCAACTCGGCCAACATATTCCGAATACCGAGTCGAATAAGGAATTAACGCATTGCTTTGCGAAATCTCACTTATTTAGTTGTGTTACTCTTCACCGCTTGTTTGTATGCCTGTTTCAGTGCAAGTCTCTAAGTTGCCATACTGCAGTTCTCAGATCCTTGTAAAGTCTCCGCTGAAGATATAAGCTCTGCTTCTTTCCCACTCAGTTTCTTGTGTCTTATCGCCAGATTTTTTTATTTGCGCCATCTATCTCTGCATGAAGACCCTTCCCAAGATTTACTTATGGAATGCATGATCTGACGATTTCTACCGGTGCACAGACTGTTACGAGAAAAATGAGGTTTATGAGATTCTGTGAGCGGGATGATGATGAGGATTGGTCCCTGGAATGCACACAGATGATAGGTGGTAGCTAATAACGAGCCCCATGGTAGCATTTTTAGGTCGACTCTTCTACCAATAGAAAGCTATTTATCAATAAACATGGCTGGTATTGCAGTTAGCCTAAAAAGGCTTCACAGATCATCTAAGCACATCACATATCACATCAAGAGCAAAGCAATAATATCTTTCAAAATGAACACTTTGAGTGTGTTGGCAAAGCTGCCTAGCTGTACTTGAGTCAAAAAATCAGCTCAGACCAAATGAGATTTGGTTGAGTGAAGACCTCAATTAAAGTAGTGAAATCAATCTGAAAAAAGGGGGGGGGGAGATATATACATACAGAGTGTTGATTGGTTGAAAGTAAGCCAGGGGTGGCATCAAAGTAACTTGTGCCTCTGGTTCAAGACAGTAGATAAGAAGTTGATGTTTTTGATAATGAATGAGATGATGGTTAGAAGAAATTGAGCAAGTAGTAATTGATGCTATAATTCACCAGTGAAATGATTGGACACAATTTTTTCCTCTTTGGATTTTTGGCTCGGTGTTGGATTGGTATGAGTTCTGTTGCCAAAGAGGCCAGTCTTCTATACTCTTCAGTTGAGAGGGCCTTCCCATTCCTTGAGAGTTCTGTTTGGTACCAAATTTCCATCAAATTTAGAGCAGTAATCATGTCTTTAACTTTGCTTGACTTCTCATTATGGGTTAAAGATTTGTATAAACAAATCTGTGCAGTATTAAATCTTTTTGTTTGTAACGATGATGATTCAAGGCTTGAACCCAGTAAAGGAAGATGTTCTTCTGTATCAATAAAAAGTAGTTCATACAGCCAGTCTAAAGTGAATTGGTGGGTTTTTTCTGGCTTTATGTGAAGGATTTTATCCAGTTTATTCAGAGAATATAAGTTGTGAATAGCATTCAAAGCCTCTCCAATCCTTTTGATTTTTTTGGTAAGAATCTCAATGTTTTTTTCTTTTCCTGATTTTGAATTTGTTGGAAGTCTAATTTGAATGGAATCATCAGTTACATGCCTTATAAAGATTAATAAACCACCAATTTCCTTGAATTCTCCAGAGTTAGGTGAAATATTGTATGCATATAATTTTTCAATATCCTTGGTTTTGTGTAAAATTTTATCTTCAAATATCTTGAATGCTTGAGAATCTTCAGCACTCTGAAATTCAAGAGAGTTAAATGCTTTTCCACAGAGAGTAAGCATCCTTTCACCATTTTTGAAATATATTTGATTTGCACCTTGGGTACCAGTCATCACCCTAAATCTGTTTTTTGGTCTTTCAATTGACATTTGCTCATTTTGTGAGATTATTTCCTTGGTTAACTCTTTACTTTCCATGGAAAGCAGGACTTCAGAATTATAATCATTTTCTCTCTGTTGAATTACATCCAAAATTTGATTCAATTCTTCTCCTTCTCCACCATGGAACTGATAGACTTTCTCAGTTTTATTCTGAGTGTCTAGATGATATCAAGTTGAACTCAGGTTGATGCATCAGCTTTTGAGAATGTTTGGTGAACAGCTTTTCACAACTCTAGACTAACCTTTCTTCCCATATTCAATGTTTTTTCCACCACTGGAGCAGGAAAATTGAGAGTGCGGATCAAATTCTCCTCTTCCCAAAATGGGCTGATCTTTGAAAGATGTGTTGAATTCCCCTACATTGTTAAAATCTGAAGATTTGATCAGTTTTGTTAAAGTCTCTTTCGAGAAAAACTTGCACGTTCATACTGGCATTTTCCCTGAAACTCACTGCTCATGCAACAATGGAGGGGTTGGAATGGTGGATCAAATTGGAATCTTTGATGGAATTCTTCTGCATTTTTTAAATTGTCTGGTTTTTGGTTAAGCTGAGGTGTATCTGGGAGGTTTAATTCTGAATCAGTGGATCAGTTTGAGAAAACCTTATAAAGAAATAATTCCCAAGGAATGCAGCATCTAAACAAACCTTGCTCACCCAAGCCACTGAAGCCTCCAGAGTTGGATGATGGGTTCAATCCACTGCCTATAATATCATCACAATGCTCAAGAGATATGTTATTCCAGAATATGTCTAATAAATTTGAATGATATGTTCATGAGAACCAAATTATGTCAATATGAAATGTGATAAGATGAAGGTACTGATTGATCTCACCACTTGAACCAATATCGTTTTTAGTCAGTTCTTTTGTCAGGTGATTAGTGTGATATTCAGAAATCTTTAGTGGTTTGGGAGGTCTCAAGTAATCCTTGGGAAGTTCAGAAAGATCTTTGAATAAATTCAAATCGTCATTGAGGGTAATAGAATTACTAGGCTCTACATGCTTTCCAATAAAAAGAGAAGTTGTAAAGTAAAAGTTAAAGTAATTAAAAAGTTTCATTTTTCAAAAGTTTGATTTGGGAAATCTGTGCACAAGACAAGGAATTAATAGAAGGAAGGATTATAATTTCAAGTTTTATATCATCCATTTCAATTGTATGTGTCCACAATGACAAGGGTACATGTTTGATCTGAAACTTGCCTGTGTTTCTCACTTGTCCCAGAAGTTGCTTCAGATTCTTATCCTTAAAAGTTGAAATTTGAATATAAAAAGAAAATCTGTACAAACCACAAACTTTGACTTGATCCACTCAAGGTATAGCAAAAAGTCAAAATGATCAAAATCTGCATGCACCCAGAATCAATCACAATCTACATTCCACAAAACATATCACTACAAGAAAAATTCAAGAAACTGCAAGCATTTGACATGCAGCAAGCTCCGATCAAACCTCAACGCAAGCTGAGGTATTTGTGCTGATGTAATTTGGTTTTACAACCCTCAAAGGGGTATACCAGAACAAGGTACAACAAAATTGTGATTTCAACTCAATTTCAGTGCAGATTATGGCCGGAGCTCTTGTATGTCAACTGAAACCAGTTGCTTTAATTTTTCTTCTTGTGTATTGGTTAATTTGGGTCTGTTACAGCTCATGTTGAGGCTTTCCTTAACATATATCAAGATTCACATTGAACCTTGGGTCATTGAATATAAATATACACAAATTTACAGCAGATCCTATCCTTGTGGAAACCTGTAAGAATTTTATTTTTATGCATGGTGTTAGTTTTGACATCTACTTATCCCTTTAATCATCTTCATTTCCAACTATCATTTTTCTATGATGAACTCACTGATCTTTGCTCTAATTGAACTGATACTCATCTCACTATATTAGTCTGTTTGTTTTATCATTACTTTGACGTCACGCTAACGGTTGCGTTGGTCTAGCGTATCAACACGTGTGGGCGGCAAAAAAGGGCCCACACTAGGCTGTGCTACATCACATTTTAGTGGGTTTTGGGCTGTTTTTCTTGCTAAAAACGCTGTAGCGCAGCTTAGTGGCACTAACAGTGCACTAACACTACAGGTTTGGCGCGCTGTTTTGAGGGCTGCTATGCTAATCTTAGTGGGATGTTTAGCGTAACAGCCCAGTGTTGCTTGTATTCATAGCTCCCTGGACTGTAGGGCCTATTGTCCCTCAATTAAGCCACTTATCTTCTTCAAGATTTTTCATTCATTTTTAGTGTTATGTATTGTACCTGTCTTGTTCTTTTGAATTTTTTTTTTCTATTCATTATCATTTTTATTCACTATTTCTTGAACCATAAATTGGCCAGCTTGTACTTCTTATTTGAAAAATCTCACTACAAGCAATTAAAACCCCATTGGGCCTCCTCCTTCATTTCCTGCCATTGAATCTGTTCCAGTCATGCCCATTTATTGCTGCTTTTTCTCATCATCTGTGTTGTAATAAGCTCAGATTTCAACACATGCTGTGTAATCATGCTGTAGTACCAAGTTGGTAGCCAAGTGCTGAGCAGTCAGTCTTTTCTGTTTCCTGTTTGTCCATTTTCTACGTACCAATATAATCATTTATGTCCTAATAAAATTGAAAGTAGAGTTTTCCAGAATGATGCTTTGTGAAAATGGAGGACTTACCCTTTCCCGGATGACTTGATTTAGAGGGACTGGCTAAACATTTGAGTACTTCCAGTCATTATATGTAGACCCTCAATAGTCAGATTTGAACCCTCTGAAGTCAGATTTTGCAGGGAAATCTGATTCAAAGGTATACAAATCTGGTTCTGTGGGGGTTACAGAACCAATAGGAAGTCCTTAATTGTTTTGTGGTGAAATAAGTTCAATTTCACCAGAAAATCAGCTTCAGCCCTTCCCTCTAAATTATAAGAAAATCAGCTTCAGCCCTTCCCTCTCAATTATAAAATCTACATGATGGGGATTCCTCCAATACTGACCCAGCTAAGCAAATAGTGGTGCCAAAGCAATGCCATTAAAACTACAGGACTTGATATTAGATCTTATTGGTATCATGGTAGCACTGTTTACTGCATCCAAAAGAACAATCACACTGTCACTACACGAGACTGAGCACATGAATGTGAGCAGCAAGGAAAATAGAATAAGAGACAAAACATTATTCACAGCTATTCCAAAAATGCTTATCCAACTTGCCTTGGATTTATTTTTACTGAATTGGGCCTATAAAAACTAAACTACTAGCTAAGGATGTACAGCTTTATTCAGTAGTTCAGTTGTGAAAAGCCCAGTTCAGTAGAACAATCCTAGCCAAGTTGTACAAGCATTTTTGGAATAGCTATATCCAAGTGATTTCAAAGAAACTTGATTATTGACCATGCCAAGGATGAGAAATACAAGAATAAGCTAGCTTAACTAATAGCCCAAGAGGATTAAGGCTTTGGCTGGTGAATCTTTTAAATAAAACTCGTCCCACCCACTCATCTATGCACCATTTGCCTTCTTGTCTTCACAATTATGACAGCCCATTTGTACCCCTGATGAGCATTGTCATGAATTCATTCTGTCATAAAGTGCCCATTTTGATAGCTCAATCAAGCATTCCACCCTCCTTGAGCTCAGGAATATCTCCTGTGGGTTAAGAGGGGATTGCAGATTCTTCCACACATAAATGTACATTCCATGTAAAATGCACTTACAATTGGGTTTTGGACCTAATACCCCATGAGTGCCAAAATTTTATTGCTTTATAGCTTATGAAGCCAGTGTGAAGATGTGCAAAACATGCTGTATTTCATGAATCATGGCAAGGCTCCTGTACATGGTGTGTGGGATCAAATACAGGAGCATCTTCAAAATTGCATTTGTGGTAACAAATCAAAAAAGCTAATGGAGGAAAGTATGAAGTGACCTCACAAGACCAAGAAGGAGATATCAAGATTCTCCTATTGGTGGGCAACTTTGAACTGTTTGACTAATAGATGAAAAGTCTAAAAAATCAGACCAATTTTTATAATCCTATCAGGCAAGAGGGTAAACTTTGGTCATAAGTGCCTCCTGCAGAGGGTCCCTGTCACATGGTGTCTCCTCCCATGGAGGGACTTAGTTAAGTTAGAAGAATGAGGTTGAATGAGGAAAAAGCTAAAAGAGGAAACACAACTATAGATGTAGAAGAATCTAAAAATAAGCTAGAGAAAGAATTTCTGATCCTGTTATGCAACCAGATTAACTGCCTTCAACCACCCAACACATCTCACCATCATTGTCACATAAACTTGGTTTGATTTCCACTTGTCTTACATAAAGAAAAAATTTCAGTGATCAATGGCAAATGTATATGGTCTTGGAATCCACACATGGAGAGAGAGAGAGGAGCCAGTACCAGAATGGCTCACAACTCAGCTTTTGTGTGTCAAGGGGACATGAAAGATGTGAGACACGTGGGGTAGAAACAAAGTTCAAAAATTAAATTAAAAAACAAATCCACACAAAAAAATTGACCATTCCAAGGAGGTCCAAGGATTTTGGGAAGGAGTGTGACTGTGTGGGTACACAAATACCATATAACCAACAAAGCATTTGCCTCTCTCCTCATACAAATTCTCACGTCTTATATATTTGGTCTACTCAAAAAAACCCTTCAAATGACACCAAAAACAAGACACCATGCACATCCCACTCATCTTAATCTTTGGGATCTTGGACATTTTTTCAAACTGGCACAGTCTCAACCTCCCCAGTTGATAAACTCAAATACAGGGAGCATAGAGATGACACTTCATACCCAGGTACCCACAGCGGGTGCAGGTACCCACCTCAAAAATCTAATATTTTGGACACCCGCACCCACCAGGCTGGGTACCTGGGCCAGGTACCTGCGGGTGTTATGGTTTTTTTCCTGGCAAATAAGCCCCAAAATCATCACCCATTTGTATTTCTGCATGACTGACTATATATATGATTGCAATTCACTAGATATATGAGCATAATTTGTTTTTTTTTTGGGCTGCAGCTAATTTGGAGTTACATTTTAACTTTTCCTGAGCTAAAAAGACAGCTAGATGATATGATCTGAAAAATAAATAAATAAATTAGTTGCAATGGACCTTCAACTAGCCATAATGGCAATTAGCTTATTAGTCAGAATTCAGTGAGTTTCTATTCAAGCTGGAGTCAAGAGCTAATTGAGCTGCTATCTGCTACCCCAATTCTTCAGGAGAGCTAATTATGTAAATTGGAAACTTAGTTGTGGTGTTGCTACATCTAAGTCAGACAAGGGCTAAGCCATCTCATAATTAACCCCCTGTTTAGGTAGTGCCTGCAGAATTTTACCCCAGTTCATAAAGTAGTTTTGTAAAGGTTTTTCCAGTTTGGTCAGCCTTTTGGGATCAACTTTTTGGAAGCATATTGTTTGTAAGTATTTGACTGTACCTGCTTTGGTTGTTCACATTCAAGATCTTCCATTGGGTTTTCAGCATCATGTCTGTCAAATTTTTGAAAAATGAAACAATTCCCTTGATGCAAATAAGTTCAAACTGCTGTTGCGGTTAATTCCATGTGATGGAATTATTGCTTTCACACGAAACGGAATGTGCTTCCTTGTTGACTTGTGTAATGTAGGACAAAATCTCCACACCTTATATGATAGTAAATAAGTAAGTCTTTTAGGTAATCTTTCAGACAGATGAATCAAGTCACTGAGGTAAAGGGGTAGCTAAGACTATTATTCATGGCCAGATATATTGATTGGTGATGGTAAAAAGCTAAGAGGATTCTACTCTCCAAACCTAAATTCAAATACACGACCATCATCAACATCTTCTTCATCTTGATCGGGGTCGAAAAGAGCATCGAGAAATCGACGCTCGGCGTCATCCCACATATCTTTCCAAGTCAAAAACCAATCCTGATAGTTACTTTCTAACGAATGACGATCGGAGCCAGGATCTAGAGGGATGATAGAGAGGGCCAAGACTGTTAAAAAGTTATCCACGCTTTTAGAGACCCTCTCGTGGATGATTCTCCTGATCTCAGCTTCACTTTCAGCCAGACTATTAATTGGAGTAACACTTTGTAAAACAGTCCTGGTCAGATCTTCGAGATCGGAGGTGATCGAATCGGGTGCGTATTGCAACTTGTGTAGTGTCTTCGTGTTAAGCTCGTCATCTAAACTGAATGGCAATTCTTTCTTCTTCGTATTTGAGACCTTAGTGATTAACGTTCGTGCTAGCTTGACGAACGGTATCGTTAGTCTAGCCAGCCTAGCCGGTCGTCCGACCTCCTGAGTGTTTGCGGGATCTTGGTGAGCTTTCTCAGTGAGGGTTTCTAGTAGTTTGTCGAGTTTTGGTATGGGTAATACCCACTCGTCTCGGAGGATATCGAAGTCGGATGCCTGGCACCAATGGATAATTTTATCGACGAATTGATAGCAATAGTCTGTTTTCTTGACGATCACTCCTCCGCAATGGCGGGTCGAGCTACAATTGTATTGACTTGGACGGGAGTTTGATGACTTCCAGGTACTGATATAGTCTTCATAATATGAGAGCAGTTCCGGTATATCGTTTTCGATGAGACGCCAAAGTTTTCGCATAAGGTAATCAGTCCTAAAATGTTTAGATCCTTGGTAGTGATGGTCGTCCGTTTGGGCTGCCGGTGGCATGAAAGCTACGTCCTCGATGCATTCGATGATGGCATCCAAACTCTTCTCCACATCTAATAGGCCTTGGTGGGTCAAATCTAAGAAAGTCATTGGATGTTTTGTAGGATCTTTTTGTAGTCCCAAGTAGCCCAGAAGAAAGCCTAATTCAAGTTTGAACGTCGGCAGGTAATCGACTTCCAGATCTATCAGTCGATCGTTTTTCCTGTCCACTTCATCTTGAGGGAGACCTATGTCTGAATCTTTGCCTCTAGCATTCATTGAGCTTTTGAATTTCTCGATGAGCTTGTCCAGAAGCCTCATGACCGAACCTATTGATAAATTGTTACAATTCAATCAGTCCAGCTGATCCTAACCCAGAAGATAGAAATTATGGTAGCTGACCAGTGGTTACAATCTTGGTAGACTTGGGCTTTGGTTTTCCATTCTCCGAAATCGAGCTTGCTTCTGAACTCGAGCTTGACGGATCAGAGTCATAATTCGAGCTTAGTTCAAGTTCCCCATCCGAGCTCACTTCAGAATCAGACATCGTCAATGTACATAAAACCCGAGCAGTGAGAATATTCGGTTTGGAAGGATTGGGGTGGAAGACTCTCCTTCTGGTATTACCATCAACCGAGTCTGTCAGCCACCGCACGGGGCAAGGCCCCGGGGTTTGGGTAGGCTCGTGGGTGCCACAGCCACTGCCACCCACTTTGGAAAAAGTGTGCGCCGACGGGCGCCAACGTTCAAAGCCCTTCAAAAGTGCCCACCCTGGCACCATTTTTTTGATGCATCATGAGAGATCATTGGTAACTGAAAGTACAAGAAAATAAGATAAATTAGCAGCTAGAAAGCGGTGAATGGTTTGTTTTTTTGCTCCTTGGGGGGTTACCATTAATTGTGAGGCCAAGCCTCACCAAAACTGTCTGTGAACACGTCCTTCCTTGACCCACACAGAGATAAAACAAAGGGTTTATACATAGACATAGAGTCCAGAAAACCTCGTGTCAGAAATGTGACCTGTTCATGGTTCACTCCCACTTCTCAAGCAAACTCACTGTTGAACTATCAGTCCGAGGGGTTCATTTTCATCCCACTGCGGCACATCAGGTCACTGAAGTGTATTGAGATAAACAAGGTTCAAAACCTAGTTTAGAATAAGCTGTTGTATTTACAGTTCCTTCATCATCATTCATGTTGTTCTCTTTTTTCTTCATCCGACTTTTCTAGTTTTTCTTTTGTCTGTGTCTCAACAATTTTGCTCCTGCTTGCTCAACTCAGGTTTGCATCTAGTCTGCTCTTGTTGTTAGGCCACGTGTCTCATGTCCCAACATCCTGGTTTGGAAACCAAAGGTTCACATTGAAAGAAATTGGAACTGAAGCAGTTTTATTTCTTGGTAAGTTTTATGATCTTAATAAAGAAATACGATTGATTATGAATAAATAAAATGATAAAGAGAAATTTGATCAGTACCTGAAGGCAGAACTGATCTAATAATTCTAATGCTAAGGCTCAGTGACAAGGATAAATGGAAAGGCTTTGGATAAGTTAATCAAATAATAATTTAAATGACTAAAATAGATCATCAGAGAAGCAATACATTGTTAGCCCAATGTCATAGAATATATTATTTCTCTTTATCTTAAGAGTAGTAAAAAGACTTTACTTTAATCGATAAGAAAATCTTTCTTCTTTAGATTAATAACTGTGTAGTATTATTTGTTCGATGAGTCTAACATAAGACCATCGAGTATAAAAGTACTACGTCAGTTATCTTTCTCTTTTTCTCACTTGAGAAAAAGGCAACTAAGTCTTTTCTTTTACTCACCGACTATTGGTGGAAATATACAAGTAATGAGTTTGTGTTGAGAAGTCTTGTGCGAGTGTAGGCTGTAGTTTGATAAGATGTTTTACAATCGATGAAGAATTAGAACTTGATAGTATCTTATTCTGATTCTTTATCATTTGATTCAATCTCTCGAGACTCACCTAGAGCTCGGTGACTGGTCATGATCAACATTCTTATCATTGCCTGTGACGTCATTGACGTCACTACTCGTTGCACAGGTTACAAATTCATTACTCTCTTGTTCTTTTGTCGAACAGCCTATTTCTGCAAATGATCACATGTTTTGTGATCAGCGCAATGATTTATTTGTTTCTTCAGGAAGTTAATCAATTCAATGATAAACTTACCTGATGCTCTCCTCTTTTGAGGGATTAGACAAGGAATTGAATTCCAACACACATCTGGTCTGATCTTGTTGTAAGTCCACATGTCTCATGTCCTAACATCCTGGTTTGGAAACCAAGTCCTCGCCGGCTGGAAGGAGACCCTTCCAGCCATCGAGGTACAAGTACCTCGCCGGCTGGAAGGAGACCCTTCCAGCCGTACGTCGAGGTAATTGTACCTCGACGGCTGGAAGGAAGCCCTTCCAGCCGGCCCTTTAGAGGGCGGGTATCTGAGGATACCCGCTCGGATACCCGCCAGCGGGTGCAGATGCGGATGCGGATGCTCAGATGGCCGGAAAAAGCAGCCGGATATCCGCATGCCAATCGACCATCTCTAGTATTAGCCCTGTTCTGTTTTTTAGTGGAACTTTGCCAAGACAACCTCTGACCTTGGTAAGACCAAGAGCTTGAGAAGCACTAAGGCATGCCTCTGACCATAGCCAACGCACTCCTTGGCAAAAGTCATACATCTGTAAACTAACTTGGAATTTTTTAGAGTACATCCCAGTTTGACTGGGATATCCTAAACCCAGGCAATTATTCTGGAAGCACGCACAATTCAGATTTCCCATAAATTCTGGATGCTTGTTTTCCTACAAAGATTTTATTGTTTATCTACAGCTTGCATTATTACAGCTTTTGCTTGTAGCTGGTGTGTTTTCAAGCTTTGAATCAGGCTATGAAGCAGCTGGTCTGTAATAAACAGTTTTATGAGAACTACCAATCATGTGTTAGAGTGTGAGCTCAAAAGAGATGATGATTTTCATTTGAGAGAAGGACCAAATCTTCCTCTTAAACTATCTACAAGTCTGTGACATGTGTTGCAGTCAAGACCTTGACCTATGTCACAACATCATGAACTCCGCTGTTTGTTGCCAGATTTAACATACAGATATTCCATTAAAGGTTTTCCAATCAGAATTTTTTTACCTCCTCAAATGTTTTTCCTTTTCCTCTGGCATATATGCTTAAAATGCCACAAGTCAAAAGGAATTGAATAGATTGAGGATGACTTTCAAAAACTATGCTCCAAGATTGTTGAATCCTTGTTGAGTTGTCGAAGCTTATGCATGAGGAGCATAATGTTTAACAAAAATTTGCAGACTCAGACAAACTTTTTGGAAATAGCTATATGAGCCAAAATACATAATAGGGGATATCAAAGGGCATTAATAAAAAAACGCGGTTTTTCCGCGTTTTGACGCGGTTTTGGCTGCGCGCAGCACACGCGGTTTCCGCATTTAGACGCGGTTTTTTAATTAATTTTTTACGGCTTATTTTTCGAGTTTTTTTGAATTTTTAAAATTGTTTCCTAGGTTTCAAAGCGCGTAGAATTGAATGGTGAAAACCATTTTCCATAAAAATGAGTTTTAATTATTAATTTTTTTTTTCTACTCATTTTTTCCATTAATTAGGGGGTATCAAATATAACCAAATCCACCATTAATTAATTGACTGGTTTGAAAAAATCTACCCTTTTTTAAACATGTTGGTTATCCATTTAACCCCTTTTGGGGCCCATTTATGCAAAAAAAGTTTTTTGGAAAAGTGACTGGTTTCTGATGGTGGATTTCCTATATTTGATACCCCCTATTGTATGCATACATGTTTTTACCTTATTTTTCATGTTTTTTTGAAATTTTAAATTTATTTCCTAGGTTTTAATGTGCGCAGAATTTAATGGCGCAGTCCAATTTTCTTCAAACTCAACGGTTCACTTTTAATACTCAAATTACACTCATTTTTCTACTTAAATTTTTAGAGCCTAATTTTCATTCTTTTTTGACATTTCAAATTTATTTCCCACACTTTAAGACATTTTCAAAATGATGGTACCAATCATTTTGCATAAAAGCAAAATATTGGCAATGAATACTGCATTGGACAGGTTTTTTTTAATGTTTTTTGAATTAATTTTTACTGGCTTAATTTCAATCATTTTTTTAAATTTTAAATTTATTTCCTACATTTAAAGATGTGTAGAATTGAATGGTGAAGTCCAATTTCCATAAATATACAAGCTTCAATCTTAAGACATGAGTGTACCCAGTTTCTTGAATAATTTGTACCGTATACATATTTTATTTGAATTCAAAATGGATACAGCCAGCAATTTTGAAACCTTTCAAAGTGTAGGAAATGAACTTCGAATTCCAAAAAATAAGGATAATTAAGCATGTAAGAATTAATTAAAAAAACCCGTCAAAGGCATTATTCAAGATACAGTTTTTATTTTGATGCAAAGTGATTGTTACCATAATTTTCAACATGTCTTAAAGTGTAGGAAAAAAATTTAAAATGTCAAAAAATAAAGAAAATTAAGCTCTTAAAAATCGATTGAAAAATATGATTAATTACAGTATTCAGAATGAACCGTTGAGTTTTAAGAAAATTGGATGTTACCATCAAATTCTACACACTTTGAAATGTAGGAAGAAACTTTAAAACTTCAAAAAAGCATAAAATATAAGGTACACACATGTATGCAAACAATTAGGTGAAAAAGTGAGGAATTAATTAAAAAAACGTGTCAAATGCAGCATTCAAGGTATAGTTTTCAACTTGGGGAAAAATGGTTGATACCATAATTTTCTACATGTCTTAAAGTGTAGGAAATAAATCCAAAATGTCAAAAAATGATGAAAATTAAGCTGTAAAAAATTAAGTGAAAAAATGGGTCTAATTTCAGTATTATAAATGAACCGTTGAGTTTTAAAAAAATTGGATTGCGCCATTAAATTCTACGCACATTAAAACCTAGGAAATAAATTTAAAATTTCAAAAAAACATAAAAAATAAGGTACATACATGTATGCAAACAATTAATTGAGAAATGAGTGAAAAAAAATAATTAATAATCAAAATTCATTTTTATGAAGGGCCTTAATAAAAAAACGCGGTTTTTCCGCGTTTTGACGCGGTTTTGATGCGCCGCAGCACACGCGGTTTCCGCTTTTAGACGCGGGTTTTTAATTAATTTTTTACAGCTTATTTTTCGAGTTTTTTTGAATTTTTAAAATTGTTTCCTAGGTTTCAAAGCGCGTAGAATTTAATGGTGAAAACCATTTTCCATAAAAATGAGTTTTAATTATTAATTTTTTTTTCTACTCATTTTTTCCATTAATTGTATGCATACATGTTTTTACCTTATTTTTCATGTTTTTTTGAAATTTTAAATTTATTTCCTAGGTTTTAATGTGCGCAGAATTTAATGGCGCAGTCCAATTTTTTTAAAACTCAACGGTTCATTTTTAATACTGAAATTAGACCCATTTTTTCACTTAATTTTTTACAGCTTAATTCTCATCATTTTTTGACATTTTAAATTTATTTCCCACACTTTGAGACATGTAGAAAATGATGGTAACAACTATTTTTCCCCAAAATGAAAACTATACCTTGAATGCCGCATTTGACACGTTTTTTTTAATTAATTCATCACTTTTTCACTTAATTGTTTGCATACATGTGTGTACCTTATTTTCTATGCTTTTTTGAAATTTTAAAGTTGTTTCATACATTTAAAAGTGTGTAGAATTTAATGGTAACATTCAATTCCCATAAAACTCAACGGTTCATTCTGGATACTGTAATTAGTCATATTTTTCAATTGATTTTTAAGAGCTTAATTTTCATTATTTTTTGACATTTTAAATTTGTTTCCTACACTTTAATACATGATAAAAATGATGGTAACAACCATTTTACATAAAAATCAGCGCTTGTTACTGAATACTGCAGTGGACAGGCTTTTTTTAATGTTTTTTTGATTGATTTTTACCGGCCTGATTTTAAGCATTTTTTTATTTTAAATTTATTTCCTACATTTACAAATGTTTAGAATTGAATGGTGAAGTCCAATTTCACTCAAAATACAAGCTTCAATCTTAATAGATGAGCGTACCCTGTTTCTTGCATAATTTGTACCATATACAAATTTTATTTGAATGCAAAATGGATACAGCCATCAATTCTGAAACCTTTGAAAGTGTAGGAAATGAGCTTGAAATTCCAAAAAATAAGGATAATTGAGCGTGTAAGAATTAATTCAGGAAACACGTCAAAGGCATTATTCAAGATATAGTTTTCATTTTGATAAAAATTCATTGTTGCCATAATTTTATACATGTTTGAAAGTGTAGGAAACAAATTTAAAATGTCAAAAAATAATGAAAATTAAGCTCTTAAAAATCAATTGAAAAATATGACTAATTACAGTATCCAGAATGAACCGTTGAGTTTTATGGGAATTGAATGTTACCATTAAATTTTACACAATTTTAAATGTAGGAAACAACTTTAAAATTTCAAAAAAGCATAGAAAATAAGGTACACACATGTATGCAAACAATTAAGTGAAAAAGTGATGAATTAATTAAAAAAAACGTGTCAAATGCGGCATTCAAGGTATAGTTTTCATTTTGGGGAAAAATAGTTGTTACCATCATTTTCTACATGTCTCAAAGTGTGGGAAATAAATTTAAAATGTCAAAAAATGATGAGAATTAAGCTGTAAAAAATTAAGTGAAAAAATGGGTCTAATTTCAGTATTAAAAATGAACCGTTGAGTTTTAAAAAAATTGGACTGCGCCATTAAATTCTGCGCACATTAAAACCTAGGAAATAAATTTAAAATTTCAAAAAAACATGAAAAATAAGGTAAAAACATGTATGCATACAATTAATGGAAAAAATGAGTAGAAAAAAAAATTAATAATTAAAACTCATTTTTATGGAAAATGGTTTTCACCATTAAATTCTACGCGCTTTGAAACCTAGGAAACAATTTTAAAAATTCAAAAAAACTCGAAAAATAAGCTGTAAAAAATTAATTAAAAAACCGCGTCTAAAAGCGGAAACCGCGTGTGCTGCGGCGCATCAAAACCGCGTCAAAACGCGGAAAAACCGCGTTTTTTTATTAAGGCCCTTTTATGAAAAATGGTTTTTACCATTAAATTCTACGCCTTTTATAGTGTAGGAAACAACTTCAAAAATTCAAAAAAACTCGAAAAATAAGCCGTAAAAAATTAATTAAAAAACCGTGTCTAAATGCGGAAACCGCGTGTGCTGCGCGCAACCAAAACCGCGTCAAAACGCGGAAAAACCGCGTTTTTTTATTAAGGCCCATATCAAATATAGAAATTCACCATTAGAAACCAGTCAATTATCCAAAAAAAAGGCACTAATGGGTCCCCAAAAGGTTGTGATGACACAACCAGTCAATTAGATAATGGTGGATTTGCCTATATTTTATACCCCCTAATTTGTAGAATTATGTCAACGTTGGGCCGCTACACTAACCGTAGCGGTTAGTGTAGCGTAAAGCAGCGGAATCGCTGTTAGCGATTAGCATAGCGTAGCGGAATTCCGCCACAACACCGCTAACGCTACGCGTGTGGGCCGCAAAAAAGGGCCCACTACGCTGTGCTACGGTGGTTTTTAGCGGTTTTTGGCCGCTTTTTCCGCTAAAAGCGCTGTAGCGCAGCGTAGCGTAGCGAAAAACCGCTAACACTACAGTTTTTGGATGAAAAAAAAGCGCCGCTACGCTACGCTTTTTGGGCCAAAAGCGTAGCGGCCCACCGCTGATTATGTTCATACATGTATGCTGCAGCTTTGAAGACTCCTATTGGCAATTTTTGAAACTGTTCTATGAATCCATTTTAGAATTTTTCACTGAGTACATGTTTATGACCCAACTTTGGACACCATGATCTTGAATAAATTTTGGCTGGGATTATGTATTCAAAATTTATATTGCTCAGAATTTCATATCATCAAAACTGACCATAACCAAAAGCGGGTTTTTGACATAAAAGTGAAGAATTTCAACAACAGGTCCCTCCAGTTATTCCCAATTTTTGTGCAGATGACAGAAAAAATATCCAGTTTTCAAAATTGAATCCTATCATCTACAGTACAGGCCCTTAATCATTTGCGTGAAAAGGTCAACTATGTGTGTTCTGTTCACACATGCATGGTCTGACACTGGCTGTATACCACTATTTTACACATGTAGGCTGTGTGTAACCTCAAGTTATAAATTCTATACACACACACCTGTCCTTGATAATAGGATGGTTCACGCCAGTATGATGAGCAGCCACCAACTTGCTGATATTAAAAAAAGCGGTAACATTTATGAAAATATTTGGTCCCATCAGCACTAAACCAACGGATGGAAACAGGGTGATCACAAATCTTGGCTGTGATATCACCATATTTTAGGAGAAAATAATAGCACCCAACAACCAACCAGCAAGTTTTTTTTTTTTTTTGCGCAAGCTATTAAATTTACAGTAAAATTTTACCAGACCGGCAAAGCAGCTGAGCAGCAAAGTGTCTATTTAAAAGTCAGACGTGAACTGTTATATACATAGCAAGATTGCATGGTACCTGGCTGATGCTCACTTATCTTGCCCATCTGTCTTTCATCAGTCACGCAGTAGGGTAGAAGCCTGCGCAGAAGGTTGACGTACAGAGGTTGAGCCACAGTTTGACCAAAAGCCCCCATCTTCCCATTACAAAACTTGATGCATTGTTTAAGGGGCTCTTGAATTGCAACTCGTGTTCGTCCCGGCGCCTCAAGGGTAGCAGGGTCGCAGCTCAGGCCCAAGAGTGAGCAACAGTACGCATAGTTATACGATTCCGCAACTTTTTTATGATCTCATCCTCAGTTCTGAATATTGTGTGAGCTGATGTATGCATGAAGAGCGTTTTGCCTGTAGGGGCTCTCCTAAGCAAATCATATCTTTGGCACTCCTCTCTACTATAAATTCTTTCCTTCTTTCTTTCTTTATCTCTACTTCTATCGGTTTCTGAAAATGTTCAAGTATAAGACCCGAGTGATCTTCACAATGTCATTTCAAAGCTTTCTGGTACTCTTTCTAGCAACATCGGCCAGCACCAGCTACGTCCCCAGCATGGCCCTAAGATATCAGTCTGGTTGGACCACAGCCTCGCCTGCCAATATTGGTCGGCAAGAACTGAAGAACTACCAAGTCGATGCACTTACATGGTCAACGACTAGAAAACATATCATCGAAGGGTCAGTTGCTTTTTTTGAATTCATTCCAGGCATGTTCAACTGTATCATTTTCACTGAATATTTCAAACAATGTGCAGGAGGGGTAGTCTAATTGCAAGAGAGGAAGACTGTGATGTAAGAACCAACGCTTTAGGAGCATTCCTATTATTTCTCTCCGTTAGGAGAAATTGGCCCTCCCCTGAAGCACTGCTGATGTGAATATCTTCTTCGGAAAAAATGTAGAAGAAGCTTGCGCTCGCCCGCCAAAAGTATCCCGGAAGCGGAAAGGCTAGGGAGTACGTCAAGTCGCAGCTTGATTGGACCAACTTGGACCCCGACACCAACAAAAATCTATGGGAGGAGGGGGTCTACAACAACCCACTTTTTGCTCAATTCAGGCTCAATGGTTGTTTTCGTTCTTCAATCAGTCACAATTGCGAACATTCTCATTCATTTTTCACCACTGTTATGTAGAATTTCCGTACGCTTTACCACCTGATGTGACTCACTGGGTCTATTGGCTGCGGGTGCCCGCCGTATCGACCAAGTTTTTCTCTCCATTGCGCCATGAGACCGTGCCACATCAAGATTTCTTGAACCCAGTAAGGGTAGCCGCGCTGACAAACTATATCAACCATTACGATTTTTACGGGTCTTCTGGGACTTCCGAACGCGTTTTACGGCATCTTCGCCCTTCAAGTTTTGCTCATCCCTCTGATCACGTGGTCTGGGAGGACCCTGTATCAAGAGAAAGAGTGACCCGTGTGGAGGGGGCTCAAGCCATAAAGTGGGCCGGAAGACATATCGTCAAGGCTATCCAATCTCGATTTCCCCCAGAAAAATATGAAGTCTTGTTCAATCGAGCGCCGGAGCGTTGGAAGTGCGTCTGCTCCTTATCTTATAAAATACAACAAAGTGCTGACTGAAGGGCTTTCTGAAATGTTATGCTGTAGAAGCGTCGTCGAACCAGATCACTTTCAGTGAGCAGATATTTAAATTACTGTTATACATCTTTTTGTCGGAAAAATGACTGACTGGATTGAACTTCCCTGTTTAATTTAACTTGACAGTGTGTTGGTCTTCCCAAAAGTTCAAGATTCCTATTCACTAGAGAAAAGTCGGTTCTCTGCGGAAAACCTTCTTAAAGCCTACTGGGTATTCAATTTGATTCCCTAGAAAAATGTTACCTTTGATTACATTTTTTGTGAAAGATGACTGTCCTTACAAGATTGAAAAAGGGGGGAAAACTTTCTGGTAGGTTAGATATCATACAAAAATTTGGACCCAAAATTTTTCAAAATCCTTTATCAGTTTTGAGAACATAGATTTTTGTTGCAATTTTCCTGATCCTTGCCCCTTGATGAGAAAGAAATTCACATCAATTTCTTTCATAAAACACATGAGCTGATCCCACAAAAGTCTGCAAGCTTATTTTTGGGCACTCATTCTCCACATCCATTTTGTCAAAGGGTCTTAGTTAAACGACTCCCAAATATTGGAGTTCCGACTCCCAAATATTTGGGACGTCGCTAAGACCCCCTGCGGACGGTCCGCAGGCCGTCCACCCCCGGAGATGGGAGTCGGACCTCCCAAACCTTCAACAGGTTTGGGAGTCAATCCTCCCAAGAAAAAATAAAATAAAAAGATAAAAAAATGAAAAACCCCGGGGGTTTTTGGGAGTCGATCTTCAAAAACCCCCCAGGGAGGTGGCGAGTCGGCGCCGGACTCTCAGCGGCGGAGATGAATCCCTCTCCGCCGTTGAGAGTGTATACTCTCACCGGCCAAGAGGGATTCCTCCCGGCCGCTGAGAGTATATACTCTCACCGGCCGAGAGGAATCCCTCTGGTCAATGAGAGTGTACAGTCTCATCAACCAAGAGGGATTCCTCTCCGCCGGTGAGAGTGTACACTCTCATCAACCAAGAGGGATCCTTTCCGCCGCTTGGAGCCCCAGGCGCTCGCGATGGCTCTAGGTGGTTTCTGGAATTTTATCTCCCAAAAACCCCCGGGGTTCTGTATTTTTTTTATATTTTTTTTTGTCCCTGATCGAGTCCCGGACCGGTTGAAGTCCTGGCAGGCGCGGCTCCCATCTCCGGCGGAGGACGGCCGGCCGACCACTCGCAGGGGGACTTAGCGACGTCCCAAATGTTTGTGAGTCGGAACTCCAAATATTTGGGAGTCGGGTGACTAAGACCGTTGATTGGTTACTACGAGAGATGAAATTAGAGGTGTCATGATAGAGTGAGTGTACAACACGGGACATGCCTTCTGAGTTTCCCACCTAGACGTATCGGCACACCAGGGGCTCACAGTTATTATGAATAGGGTTTGGACTATCCCATACACATGGATACACATTTGTGATGTACAGGCATGGACATCCTCCATGGGACTGAACAGTCTGAGGGTTCAGATCCTGATGAAAAGGGTAATTTTTTTGATAAATTTGGAGCGATGATGTCATGAAA